GCATGGGAGAGAGAAGGGAGACAAGGGCGACGATAGGGGGCTGATAAGTTGACAGCAGCAGACACGGTCAGCACGAGGTCGCTTAAGGCACAGAGGTGGAGAAGCCAAGTGTCTTCCAGGCGAGCATTGTTGGGGCCGTGCCTGGGGACTAGGTGGTGTGGGGGAGGAAGGACAGGGTGCGCGCACATGGAAGGAGGAAGGGGTGTGTGCTTAGGATCCTGCCTGGGGAATGCCCAAGCGTGGACCAGGGGAGTGGCTGCAATTTTGGAATGCGCGCCGCGACGTGATTTCCTTCGAACGTGTCGCGCCCTTGATGGTGAGCGCGCGATACTGGATTTGTCAGCCGAACCGCACAGCTTTGGAACCAGCCAAGCTAGCCGCGAAGTGCGGGACTTTCCAAGGGTGCTGTTGCTCGTGCATCAATCCCATCCCACGCGGCCTCCATTGGTCAAACGACCAGAAACATGAAATCCTCGCTACGAGCATATGCGTTTCCCACCATGACGTCTATCACACACCGTTAACCAACCTTCATCTACAGAGATTTCTTGACCTCTCATCCCAATGTGGAATTGACAATGACATAATTCAGGCACTATGGAGAGAGGCATACACGGTTCAAATTGGTTAGAGGTGTTATATCATGTTACACCACATTCTGAAAGCCACGGATCGTCAAAGCTTACATACTTCGTCCAAAGGCTACGATAATTCGGTAAAGCAATCTTCAGCCATGGCTTCTGGTTACCATTCCAGTGTATGGCCGCGGCCTTAGAGATGGCATTCATGTCCAGATGTGGGTTGTAACCGAGCCCCAGGACGTGCCATGACGGATCGATGGCATGTGTAAGCCCATTGAATGCCAGTAAGCCCGGCGGTAATGTCCCCAGCTTCCATAATGAATTATCAACATTCTGCAATGAGACGAAGAAACGTACAAAACGGGGGCCAAAACAATGTAACACCTGAAGGCGTAGGCAGCAGACAAAAGCAGACGTACACACCACACCACCCATTCTCTTTTCCCAGTGCCGCCAGTCAAAACTCAAAACTTCAACTGCCCATCCTCCCACTCACCTGCTCTTGCCAGTAGTGGTATGTGCCCGTCACATTGGCCCCTCTCCAGCCATCCAGGTCAAACAGGTTCATGCCATACGCCCACGCACACCCCTCGGGGTCGAAGCGCCCTCTCAGCCGCGTGTCGGTGAAGTTGAGGTAGCGGTGGAAGCGGTGGAACGACCCCTTGCACGTCTCCACTGCACCGTTCACGGCCCTGTTGGGTGATGGGGGTTCAGGGAGGTACAGCAAGAGTCAGAACGGTAGTAAGGTCAAACAATTTAGCCACGTGTCCGTGAAGTTGAGGTGGCGGCGAACTGGTGGAACGACCCCTTGCACGTCTCCACTGCGCCGTTCACGGCTCCGATGGGGGAAACAGGGGGGGGTCAAGAGGGTAAGGGAAGAACAGTGTGAGGGTTAGGTCCTTGAGCCGTGGGCTAGTGAAGTTGAGGTAGCGGTGGAAGTGCTAGAAGGACCCCTTGCTTGCCTCCACTGCTCCATCGACAGCCTTTATGGGGGAAATAGGGGGGGCCAAGAGGGTAAGGGAAGAACGGTGGTTAAGTCAGACACTTGAGCCGGGTATAGGTGAAGTTGGGGTAATGGAGGAACCTGAGGAGTGCCAAACGCAGGCAAGTACCCAGTTAGGGGTGTCAAGAGCAAGAGCAGGAACGTGACTATTTGTGTCCAGAGTGAAGAGGGCGGAGAGGTATTTTTTGCACGATGACGTCATGGACGAGGAAGGAGGATGCGGTGCAGCGCAGGGAAAGAGAGAGGGAAAAAGAGGAGGAGATGCAGAGCAGCACAAGGAGGAGAGGAACATGCCCGTCTATGCCTAGCACGGAAGGGCAGAGAGGTATTTCTGCATGATGACGTCATTGATGAGGAAAGAAAGAGGATGCGGAGCAGCGAGGGGACGGAGAGAGGGGAATGTCAGCACAGAGCAAAAGAAACACACCTGAGCATGCCCAGAGAGAGAGAAGGGCGCGGCGCAGCAGCGCGCGGAAGAGCGAAGGGAATGCGCAGCACAATGGTGCAGGGAGGAGCGCCGGAAAGGAAGGGACATACCTGTTCATGTCCAGAGAATTTTCAGACTTCTCGAGAATCTCTCACAGGGACATACCCGTTCATGTCCAGAGATTTTTCAGACTTCTCGAGAATCTCTCACAGGGACATACCCGTTCATGTCCAGAGATTTTTCAGACTTCTCGAAAATCTCTCACAGGGGCATACCCATTCATGTCCAGAGAGAAGAGGGCGGAGAGGTCCTTCTGCACAATGACATCGTCGTCGAGGAAGAGGATGCGGTGCAGGGAAGGGAAGAGCTGGGGGAGGTAGAACCGCAGGTGGTTGAGCAGCGCCATGTACTTGGGGTTGTGGAACTTGATGGGTTCCCGGCCCTCCACCTGATTGGGGGTGTGTGTACAGGGGCGGTTGACGGGGTCTGGCACGAGGGAAACACGGTAGATGGTTGAGCAGAGCCACGCACTACAGGTTGTGGAACTTGATGGGCTCCCGCCCCTCCACCTGGCTTGGGATGTGTGTGCAGGCGTGGTTGACAGGGTGTGGCTATGGGTCACCGATGCAGCACGATGTGACGTGGCAAGGGGGAACATTTTGAGTCGACTCAACAGTCACCCACCGATGCACCAAGATGCAGCACCTACTTATGCAGCATGATGCAGCACCTACCGATGCAGCACGATGCAGCACCTACCGATGCAGCACGATGTGACGTGGCACGGGGGAACACCTTTCGTGATTCATCAACCAGTCCTACTCCTTACCAGTCCCCCTATGACCTTCCCTGTACTCGCAACAACAGCAGCAGCAGCAGCAGAGAAGTAGAAGCCAGCCTCCTGTATTTGCTGTAGCACCCTCAACTGCCCCAATCCCAAAGACACCCCATCACACAAGAACAAAGCCCTCCCCGCCTTGACTCACAGAAGAGACCCTCCCTGCCTTGACTCACAGCAGAGACCTCCCTGCCTTGACTCACAGCAGAGGCAGCGGAGAAGTAGAGGCTCTTGGCCCCAGCCTCCTGCATCTGCCGCAGCACCCCCAACACCCTCTCAACACCTCTTCCACAACCCCTTCCAACGCCACTCAACCCCCCCTCTCCCACATTCCACTCACGGCAGCAGCAGCAGAGAAGTAGAAGCTCTTGGCGCCGGCCTCCTGCATCTGCCGCAGCACGGGCGCATAGGACGCATTGAGCCACCCGCTCTCGCCCTCCACCCGCCGCACCTCCAGCGAGGCCAAACCTGGAGGGTGGCGGGAGAACCACACCTGCGAGTGGAGGAGGAGGGGGGGGAGGAGGAGGAGAGGGGGAGGAGAGGAAGGGGGAGAGGAGGGGGGGGGAGGAGGAGAGGAGGGGGAGAGGAAGGGGGAGAGGAGGGGGAGAGGAGGGGGAGGGAGGGGGAGAGGAGGGGAGAGGAGGGGAGAGGAGGGGGAGAGGAGGGGGAGAGGAGGGGAGAGGAGGGGAGAGGAGGGGAGAGGAGGGGAGAGGAGAGGGAGAGGAGTGGGAGGGGGAGGGGGAGGGGGAGGAAACTTTGAGTTGATTCAGAAGGGAAGAAAAACCCCTGGGATGACTCCTGCTCCCCAGGGATGGCTCAAGAAGCACAGCTTGGAAGGGGAGCGGGGGAGTGAGGGTGCGGGGTGAGAAAGGGGGGTGGGATGGGAAAAACCAGCATGACTATAACTCAAGCAGGCGAGCATTGCCCCCCTTCTGCGAAAGAACGGGCATGAGCATAACTCAGAAGGCATGCACATCCCATCACACGCCCACACTGCAGAGGACCCGCAGGAGATATCACACCATATCAACCACACCAAAATGCATCACATCCCATCCCATCCCATCCCATCCCATGCACGCACCACGAAGGCGGGGAAGGAGGTGGCGTCGGTGATGACGTGGAAAACCAGCCGTGAGGGGTCACTGGAAGAGAGCACGTTGGAGTTGACAGCAGCGGACACGGCCAGAAGGTTGTCGCTGAACACACAGAGGTGCTGCAGCGAGGTGTCGACAAGGCGAGAGTTGTTGGGCGTGCCTGGAGGCTGGGAGAAGGACCAAGGAGACAAAGAGGAGAGCGGATCTCGTTATGGTGACAGCAGCACACACGGCCAGCACGTTGGCGCTGAATACACACAGGTGCAGTAGCCAGGTGTCTGTCAGGCGAGTGGCGTTGGGTGTGCGTGGTGCGTGTGTGTGTTGAGGGGGTGGGGATGGCACAGTGGAAACTAGGAGTTGACAGCAGCGGACACGGCCAGCACGTTGTCGCTCAACACACAGAGGTGCAGCAGCGAGGTGTCAACTAGGCGAGAGTTGTTGGGCGTGCCCCGAGGGCTGTGTGTGTGCATGGGAGAGAGAAGGGAGACAAGGGCGACGATAGGGGGCTGATAAGTTGACAGCAGCAGACACGGTCAGCACGAGGTCGCTTAAGGCACAGAGGTGGAGGAGCCAAGTGTCTTCCAGGCGAGCGTTGTTGGGGCCGGGCCTGGGGACTAGGTGGTGTGGGGGAGGAAGGACAGGGTGCGCGCACATGGAAGGAGGAAGGGGTGTGTGCTTAGGATCCTGCCTGGGGAATGCCCAAGCGTGGACCAGGGGAGTGGCTGCAATTTTGGAATGCGCGCCGCGACGTGATTTCCTTCGAACGTGTCGCGCCCTTGATGGTGAGCGCGCGATACTGGATTTGTCAGCCGAACCGCACAGCTTTGGAACCAGCCAAGCTAGCCGCGAAGTGCGGGACTTTCCAAGGGTGCTGTTGCTCGTGCATCAATCCCATCCCACGCGGCCTCCATTGGTCAAACGACCAGAAACATGAAATCCTCGCTACGAGCATGTGCGTTTCCCACCATGACGTCTATCAGACACCGTTAACCAACCTTCATCTACAGAGATTTCTTGACCTCTCATCCCAATGTGGAATTGACAATGACATAATTCAGGCACTATGGAGAGAGGCATACACGGTTCAAACTGGTTAGAGGTGTTATATCATGTTACACCACATTCTGAAAGCCACGGATCGTCAAAGCTTACATACTTCGTCCAAAGGCTACGATAATTCGGTAAAGCAATCTTCAGCCATGGCTCCTGGTTACCATTCCAGTGTATGGCCGCGGCCTTAGAGATGGCATTCATGTCCAGATGTGGGTTGTAACCGAGCCCCAGGACGTGCCATGACGGATCGATGGCATGTGTAAGCCCATTGAATGCCAGTAAGCCCGGCGGTAATGTCCCCAGCTTCCATAATGAATTATCAACATTCTGCAATGAGACGAAGAAACGTACAAAACGGGGGCCAAAACAATGTAACACCTGAAGGCGTAGGCAGCAGACAAAAGCAGACGTACACACCACACCACCCATTCTCTTTTCCCAGTGCCGCCAGTCAAAACTCAAAACTTCAACTGCCCATCCTCCCACTCACCTGCTCTTGCCAGTAGTGGTATGTGCCCGTCACATTGGCCCCTCTCCAGCCATCCAGGTCAAACAGGTTCATGCCATACGCCCACGCACACCCCTCGGGGTCGAAGCGCCCTCTCAGCCGCGTGTCGGTGAAGTTGAGGTAGCGGTGGAAGCGGTGGAACGACCCCTTGCACGTCTCCACTGCACCGTTCACGGCCCTGTTGGGTGATGGGGGTTCAGGGAGGTACAGCAAGAGTCAGAACGGTAGTAAGGTCAAACAATTTAGCTGCGTGTCCGTGAAGTTGAGGTGGCGGCGGAACTGGTGGAACGACCCCTTGCACGTCTCCACTGCGCCGTTCACGGCTCCGATGGGGGAAACAGGGGGGGGTCAAGAGGGTAAGGGAAGAACAGTGTGAGGGTTAGGCCCTTGAGCCGTGGGCTGATGAAGTTGAGGTAGCGGTGGAAGTGGTAGAAGGACCCTTTGCTTGCCTCCATTGCTCCATTGACAGCCTTTATGGGGGAAATAGGGGGGCCAAGAGGGTAAGGGAAGAACGGTGGTTAAGTCAGACACTTGAGCCGGGTATAGGTGAAGTTGGGGTAATGGAGGAACCTGAGGAGTGCCAAACGCAGGCAAGTACCCAGTTAGGGGTGTCAAGAGCAAGAGCAGGAACGTGACTATTTGTGTCCAGAGTGAAGAGGGCGGAGAGGTATTTTTTGCACGATGACGTCATGGACGAGGAAGGAGGATGCGGTGCAGCGCAGGGAAAGAGAGAGGGAAAAAGAGGAGGAGATGCAGAGCAGCACAAGAAGGAGAGGAACATGCCCGTCTATGCCTAGCACGGAAGGGCAGAGAGGTATTTCTGCACGATGACGTCATTGATGAGGAAAGAAAGAGGATGCGGAGCAGCGAGGGGACGGAGAGAGGGGAATGTCAGCACAGAGCGAAAGAAACACACCTGAGCATGCCCAGAGAGAGAGAAGGGCGCGGCGCCGGAAGAGCGAAGGGAATGCGCAGCACAACAGTGCAGGGAGGAGCGCCAGAAAGGAAGGGACATACCCGTTCATGTCCAGAGAATTTTCAGACTTCTCGAGAATCTCTCACAGGGACATACCCGTTCATGTCCAGAGATTTTTCAGACTTCTCGAGAATCTCTCACAGGGACATACCCGTTCATGTCCAGAGATTTTTCAGACTTCTCGAGAATCTCTCACAGGGACATACCCGTTCATGTCCAGAGATTTTTCAGACTTCTCGAGAATCTCTCACAGGGACATACCCGTTCATGTCCAGAGATTTTTCAGACTTCTCGAGAATCTCTCAGAGGGACATACCCGTTCATGTCCAGAGATTTTTCAGACTTCTCGAAAATCTCTCACAGGGGCATACCCGTTCATGTCCAGAGAGAAGAGGGCACAGAGGTCCTTCTGCACAATGACATCGTCGTCGAGGAAGAGGATGCGGTGCAGGGAAGGGAAGAGCTGGGGGAGGTAGAACCGCAGGTGGTTGAGCAGCGCCATGTACTTGGGGTTGTGGAACTTGATGGGTTCCCGGCCCTCCACCTGATTGGGGGTGTGTGTACAGGGGCGGTTGACGGGGTCTGGCACGAGGGAAACACGGCAGATGGTTGAGCAGAGCCATGCACTACAGGTTGTGGAACTTGATGGGCTCCCGCCCCTCCACCTGGCTGGGGATGTGTGTGCAGGCGTGGTTGACAGGGTGTGGCTATGGGTCACCGATGCAGCACGATGTGACGTGGCAAGGGGGAACATTTTGAGTCGACTCAACAGTCACCCACCGATGCAGCACCTACCGATGCAGCATGATGCAGCACCTACCGATGCAGCACGATGCAGCACCTACCGATGCAGCACGATGTGACGTGGCACGGGGGGACACCTTTCGTGATTCATCAACCAGTCCTACTCCTCACCAGTCCCCCTATGACCTTCCCTGTACTCGCAACAACAGCAGCAGCAGCAGCAGCAGCAGCAGAGAAGTAGAAGCCAGCCTCCTGTATTTGTTGTAGCACCCTCAACTGCCCCAATCCCAAAGACACCCCATCACGCAAGAACAGAGCCCTCCCCGCCTTGACTCACAGAAGAGACCCTCCCTGCCTTGACTCACAGCAGAGACCTCCCTGCCTTGACTCACAGCAGAGGCAGCGGAGAAGTAGAGGCTCTTGGCCCCAGCCTCCTGCATCTGCCGCAGCACCCCCAACACCCTCTCAACACCTCTTCCACAACCCCTTCCAACGCCACTCAACCCCCCCTCTCCCACATTCCACTCACGGCAGCAGCAGCAGAGAAGTAGAAGCTCTTGGCGCCGGCCTCCTGCATCTGCCGCGGGCGCATAGGACGCATTGAGCCACCCGCTCTCGCCCTCCACCCGCCGCACCTCCAGCGAGGCCAAACCTGGAGGGTGGCGGGAGAACCACACCTGCGAGTGGAGGAGGAGGGGGGGGAGGAGGAGAGGGGGAGGAGAGGAAGGGGGAGAGGAGGGGGGGGGAGGAGGAGAGGAGGGGGAGAGGAAGGGGGGAGAGGAGGGGGAGAGGAGGGGGAGGGAGGGGAGGGGGAGAGGAGGGGGAGAGGAGGGGGAGAGGAGGGGAGAGGAGGGGGAGAGGAGGGGGAGAGGAGGGGAGAGGAGGGGGAGAGGAGGGGGAGAGGAGAGGGAGAGGAGGGGGAGGGGGAGGGGGAGGGGGAGGAAACTTTGAGTTGATTCAGAAGGGAAGAAAAACCCCTGGGATGACTCCTGCTCCCCAGGGATGGCTCAAGAAGCACAGCTTGGAAGGGGAGCGGGGGAGTGAGGGTGCGGGGTGAGAAAGGGGGGTGGGATGGGAAAAACCGGCATGACTATAACTCAAGCAGGCGAGCATTGCCCCCCTTCTGCGAAAGAACGGGCATGAGCATAACTCAGAAGGCATGCACATCCCATCACACGCACACACTGCAGAGGACCCGCAGGAGATATCACACCATATCAACCACACCAAAATGCATCACATCCCATCCCATCCCATCCCATCCCATCCCATCCCATGCACGCACCACGAAGGCGGGGAAGGAGGTGGCGTCGGTGATGACGTGGAAAACCAGCCGTGAGGGGTCACTGGAAGAGAGCACGGTGGAGTTGACAGCAGCGGACACGGCCAGAAGGTTGTCGCTGAACACACAGAGGTGCTGCAGCGAGGTGTCGACAAGGCGAGAGTTGTTGGGCGTGCCTGGAGGCTGGGAGAAGGACCAAGGAGACAAAGAGGAGAGCGGATCTCGTTATGGTGACAGCAGCACACACGGCCAGCACGTTGGCGCTGAATACACACAGGTGCAGTAGCCAGGTGTCTGTCAGGCGAGTGGCGTTGGGTGTGCGTGGTGCGTGTGTGTGTTGAGGGGGTGGGGATGGCACAGTGGAAACTAGGAGTTGACAGCAGCGGACACGGCCAGCACGTTGTCGCTCAACACACAGAGGTGCAGCAGCGAGGTGTCAACTAGGCGAGAGTTGTTGGGCGTGCCCCGAGGGCTGTGTGTGTGCATGGGAGAGAGAAGGGAGACAAGGGCGACGATAGGGGGCTGATAAGTTGACAGCAGCAGACACGGTCAGCACGAGGTCGCTTAAGGCACAGAGGTGGAGAAGCCAAGTGTCTTCCAGGCGAGCATTGTTGGGGCCGTGCCTGGGGACTAGGTGGTGTGGGGGAGGAAGGACAGGGTGCGCGCACATGGAAGGAGGAAGGGGTGTGTGCTTAGGATCCTGCCTGGGGAATGCCCAAGCGTGGACCAGGGGAGTGGCTGCAATTTTGGAATGCGCGCCGCGACGTGATTTCCTTCGAACGTGTCGCGCCCTTGATGGTGAGCGCGCGATACTGGATTTGTCAGCCGAACCGCACAGCTTTGGAACCAGCCAAGCTAGCCGCGAAGTGCGGGACTTTCCAAGGGTGCTGTTGCTCGTGCATCAATCCCATCCCACGCGGCCTCCATTGGTCAAACGACCAGAAACATGAAATCCTCGCTACGAGCATATGCGTTTCCCACCATGACGTCTATCACACACCGTTAACCAACCTTCATCTACAGAGATTTCTTGACCTCTCATCCCAATGTGGAATTGACAATGACATAATTCAGGCACTATGGAGAGAGGCATACACGGTTCAAATTGGTTAGAGGTGTTATATCATGTTACACCACATTCTGAAAGCCACGGATCGTCAAAGCTTACATACTTCGTCCAAAGGCTACGATAATTCGGTAAAGCAATCTTCAGCCATGGCTTCTGGTTACCATTCCAGTGTATGGCCGCGGCCTTAGAGATGGCATTCATGTCCAGATGTGGGTTGTAACCGAGCCCCAGGACGTGCCATGACGGATCGATGGCATGTGTAAGCCCATTGAATGCCAGTAAGCCCGGCGGTAATGTCCCCAGCTTCCATAATGAATTATCAACATTCTGCAATGAGACGAAGAAACGTACAAAACGGGGGCCAAAACAATGTAACACCTGAAGGCGTAGGCAGCAGACAAAAGCAGACGTACACACCACACCACCCATTCTCTTTTCCCAGTGCCGCCAGTCAAAACTCAAAACTTCAACTGCCCATCCTCCCACTCACCTGCTCTTGCCAGTAGTGGTATGTGCCCGTCACATTGGCCCCTCTCCAGCCATCCAGGTCAAACAGGTTCATGCCATACGCCCACGCACACCCCTCGGGGTCGAAGCGCCCTCTCAGCCGCGTGTCGGTGAAGTTGAGGTAGCGGTGGAAGCGGTGGAACGACCCCTTGCACGTCTCCACTGCACCGTTCACGGCCCTGTTGGGTGATGGGGGTTCAGGGAGGTACAGCAAGAGTCAGAACGGTAGTAAGGTCAAACAATTTAGCCACGTGTCCGTGAAGTTGAGGTGGCGGCGAACTGGTGGAACGACCCCTTGCACGTCTCCACTGCGCCGTTCACGGCTCCGATGGGGAAACAGGGGGGGGTCAAGAGGGTAAGGGAAGAACAGTGTGAGGGTTAGGTCCTTGAGCCGTGGGCTAGTGAAGTTGAGGTAGCGGTGGAAGTGCTAGAAGGACCCCTTGCTTGCCTCCACTGCTCCATCGACAGCCTTTATGGGGGAAATAGGGGGGGCCAAGAGGGTAAGGGAAGAACGGTGGTTAAGTCAGACACTTGAGCCGGGTATAGGTGAAGTTGGGGTAATGGAGGAACCTGAGGAGTGCCAAACGCAGGCAAGTACCCAGTTAGGGGTGTCAAGAGCAAGAGCAGGAACGTGACTATTTGTGTCCAGAGTGAAGAGGGCGGAGAGGTATTTTTTGCACGATGACGTCATGGACGAGGAAGGAGGATGCGGTGCAGCGCAGGGAAAGAGAGAGGGAAAAAGAGGAGGAGATGCAGAGCAGCACAAGGAGGAGAGGAACATGCCCGTCTATGCCTAGCACGGAAGGGCAGAGAGGTATTTCTGCATGATGACGTCATTGATGAGGAAAGAAAGAGGATGCGGAGCAGCGAGGGGACGGAGAGAGGGGAATGTCAGCACAGAGCAAAAGAAACACACCTGAGCATGCCCAGAGAGAGAGAAGGGCGCGGCGCAGCAGCGCGCGGAAGAGCGAAGGGAATGCGCAGCACAATGGTGCAGGGAGGAGCGCCGGAAAGGAAGGGACATACCTGTTCATGTCCAGAGAATTTTCAGACTTCTCGAGAATCTCTCACAGGGACATACCCGTTCATGTCCAGAGATTTTTCAGACTTCTCGAGAATCTCTCACAGGGACATACCCGTTCATGTCCAGAGATTTTTCAGACTTCTCGAAAATCTCTCACAGGGGCATACCCATTCATGTCCAGAGAGAAGAGGGCGGAGAGGTCCTTCTGCACAATGACATCGTCGTCGAGGAAGAGGATGCGGTGCAGGGAAGGGAAGAGCTGGGGGAGGTAGAACCGCAGGTGGTTGAGCAGCGCCATGTACTTGGGGTTGTGGAACTTGATGGGTTCCCGGCCCTCCACCTGATTGGGGGTGTGTGTACAGGGCGGTTGACGGGGTCTGGCACGAGGGAAACACGGTAGATGGTTGAGCAGAGCCACGCACTACAGGTTGTGGAACTTGATGGGCTCCCGCCCCTCCACCTGGCTTGGGATGTGTGTGCAGGCGTGGTTGACAGGGTGTGGCTATGGGTCACCGATGCAGCACGATGTGACGTGGCAAGGGGGAACATTTTGAGTCGACTCAACAGTCACCCACCGATGCACCAAGATGCAGCACCTACTTATGCAGCATGATGCAGCACCTACCGATGCAGCACGATGCAGCACCTACCGATGCAGCACGATGTGACGTGGCACGGGGGAACACCTTTCGTGATTCATCAACCAGTCCTACTCCTTACCAGTCCCCCTATGACCTTCCCTGTACTCGCAACAACAGCAGCAGCAGCAGCAGCAGAGAAGTAGAAGCCAGCCTCCTGTATTTGCTGTAGCACCCTCAACTGCCCCAATCCCAAAGACACCCCATCACACAAGAACAAAGCCCTCCCCGCCTTGACTCACAGAAGAGACCCTCCCTGCCTTGACTCACAGCAGAGACCTCCCTGCCTTGACTCACAGCAGAGGCAGCGGAGAAGTAGAGGCTCTTGGCCCCAGCCTCCTGCATCTGCCGCAGCACCCCCAACACCCTCTCAACACCTCTTCCACAACCCCTTCCAACGCCACTCAACCCCCCCTCTCCCACATTCCACTCACGGCAGCAGCAGCAGAGAAGTAGAAGCTCTTGGCGCCGGCCTCCTGCATCTGCCGCAGCACGGGCGCATAGGACGCATTGAGCCACCCGCTCTCGCCCTCCACCCGCCGCACCTCCAGCGAGGCCAAACCTGGAGGGTGGCGGGAGAACCACACCTGCGAGTGGAGGAGGAGGGGGGGGAGGAGGAGGAGAGGGGGAGGAGAGGAAGGGGGGAGAGGAGGGGGGGGGGAGGAGGAGAGGAGGGGGAGAGGAAGGGGGGAGAGGAGGGGGAGAGGAGGGGGAGGGGAGGGGGAGAGGAGGGGGAGAGGAGGGGGAGAGGAGGGGGAGAGGAGGGGGAGAGGAGGGGGAGAGGAGGGGGAGAGGAGGGGGAGAGGAGGGGGAGAGGAGAGGGAGAGGAGTGGGAGGGGGAGGGGGAGGGGGAGGAAACTTTGAGTTGATTCAGAAGGGAAGAAAAACCCCTGGGATGACTCCTGCTCCCCAGGGATGGCTCAAGAAGCACAGCTTGGAAGGGGAGCGGGGGAGTGAGGGTGCGGGGTGAGAAAGGGGGGTGGGATGGGAAAAACCAGCATGACTATAACTCAAGCAGGCGAGCATTGCCCCCCTTCTGCGAAAGAACGGGCATGAGCATAACTCAGAAGGCATGCACATCCCATCACACGCCCACACTGCAGAGGACCCGCAGGAGATATCACACCATATCAACCACACCAAAATGCATCACATCCCATCCCATCCCATCCCATCCCATGCACGCACCACGAAGGCGGGGAAGGAGGTGGCGTCGGTGATGACGTGGAAAACCAGCCGTGAGGGGTCACTGGAAGAGAGCACGGTGGAGTTGACAGCAGCGGACACGGCCAGAAGGTTGTCGCTGAACACACAGAGGTGCTGCAGCGAGGTGTCGACAAGGCGAGAGTTGTTGGGCGTGCCTGGAGGCTGGGAGAAGGACCAAGGAGACAAAGAGGAGAGCGGATCTCGTTATGGTGACAGCAGCACACACGGCCAGCACGTTGGCGCTGAATACACACAGGTGCAGTAGCCAGGTGTCTGTCAGGCGAGTGGCGTTGGGTGTGCGTGGTGCGTGTGTGTGTTGAGGGGGTGGGGATGGCACAGTGGAAACTAGGATTTGACAGCAGCGGACACGGCCAGCACGTTGTCGCTCAACACACAGAGGTGCAGCAGCGAGGTGTCAACTAGGCGAGAGTTGTTGGGCGTGCCCCGAGGGCTGTGTGTGTGCATGGGAGAGAGAAGGGAGACAAGGGCGACGATAGGGGGCTGATAAGTTGACAGCAGCAGACACGGTCAGCACGAGGTCGCTTAAGGCACAGAGGTGGAGAAGCCAAGTGTCTTCCAGGCGAGCGTTATTGGGGCCGTGCCTGGGGACTAGGTGGTGTGGGGGAGGAAGGACAGGGTGCGCGCACATGGAAGGAGGAAGGGGTGTGTGCTTAGGATCCTGCCTGGGGAATGCCCAAGCGTGGACCAGGGGAGTGGCTGCAATTTTGGAATGCGCGCCGCGACGTGATTTCCTTCGAACGTGTCGCGCCCTTGATGGTGAGCGCGCGATACTGGATTTGTCAGCCGAACCGCACAGCTTTGGAACCAGCCAAGCTAGCCGCGAAGTGCGGGACTTTCCAAGGGTGCTGTTGCTCGTGCATCAATCCCATCCCACGCGGCCTCCATTGGTCAAACGACCAGAAACATGAAATCCTCGCTACGAGCATATGCATTTCCCACCATGACGTCTATCAGACACCGTTAACCAACCTTCATCTACAGAGATTTCTTGACCTCTCATCCCAATGTGGAATTGACAATGACATAATTCAGGCACTATGGAGAGAGGCATACACGGTTCAAACTGGTTAGAGGTGTTATATCATGTTACACCACATTCTGAAAGCCACGGATCGTCAAAGCTTACGTACTTCGTCCAAAGGCTACGATAATTCGGTAAAGCAATCTTCAGCCATGGCTTCTGGTTACCATTCCAGTGTATAGCCGCGGCCTTAGAGATGGCATTCATGTCCAGATGTGGGTTGTAACCGAGCCCCAGGACGTGCCATGACGGATCGATGGCATGTGTAAGCCCGTTGAATGCCAATAAGCCTGGCGGTAGTGTCCCCAGCTTCCATAATAAATGATCAACATTCTGCAATGAGACGAAGAAATGTAGAAAACGGGGGCCAAAACAACGTAACACCAGAAGGCATAGGCAGCAGACAAAAAGCAGACGTACGGTACAAACCACACCACCCATTCTCTTTTCTCAGTGCCACCAGTCAAACACACAAAACTTCAACTGCCCATCCTCCCACTCACCTGCTCTTGCCAGTAGTGGTATGTGCCCGTTACATTGGCCCCTCTCCAGCCATCCAGGTCAAACAGGTTCATGCCATACGCCCACGCACATCCCTCGGGGTCGAAGCGCCCTCTCAGCCGCGTGTCGGTGAAGTTGAGGTAGCGGTGGAAGCGGTGGAACGACCCCTTGCACGTCTCCACTGCACCGTTCACGGCCCTGTTGGGTGATGGGGGTTCAGGGAGGTACAGCAAGAGTCAGAACGGTAGTAAGGTCAAACAATTTAGCCACGTGTCCGTGAATTTGAGGTGGCGGCGAAAGCGGTGGAACGACCCCTTGCACGTCTCCACTGCGCCATTCACGGCTGCGATGGGCGAAACAGTGGGGGGTCAAGAGGGCAAGGGAAGAACAGTGTGAGAGTTTGGCCCTTGAGCCGTGGGCTGGTGAAGTTGAGGTAGCGGTGGAAGTGGTAGAAGGACCCCTTGCTTGCCTCCACTGCTCCATCGACAGCCTTTATGGGGGAAATAGGGGGGGCCAAGAGGGTAAGGGAAGAACGGTGGTTCAGTCAGACACTTGAGCCGGGTATAGGTGAAGTTGGGGTAATGGAGGAACCTGAGGAGTGCCAAACGCAGGCAAGTACCCAGTTAGGGGTGTCAAGAGCAAGAGCAGGAACGTGACTATTTGTGTCCAGAGTGAAGAGGGCGGAGAGGTATTTTTTGCACGATGACGTCATGGACGAGGAAGGAGGATGCGGTGCAGCGCAGGGAAAGAGAGAGGGAAAAAGAGGAGGAGATGCAGAGCAGCACAAGGAGGAGAGGAACATGCCCGTCTATGCCTAGAACGGAAGGGCAGAGAGGTATTTCTGCACGATGACGTCATTGATGAGGAAAGAAAGAGGATGCGGAGCAGCGAGGGGACGGAGAGAGGGGAATGTCAGCACAGAGCAAAAGAAACACACCTGAGCATGCCCAGAGAGAGAGAAGGGCGCGGCGCAGCAGCGCGCGGAAGAGCGAAGGGAATGCGCAGCACAATGGTGCAGGGAGGAGCGCCGGAAAGGAAGGGACATACCTGTTCATGTCCAGAGAATTTTCAGACTTCTCGAGAATCTCTCACAGGGACATACCCGTTCATGTCCAGAGATTTTTCAGACTTCTCGAGAATCTCTCACAGGGACATACCCGTTCATGTCCAGAGATTTTTCAGACTTCTCGAAAATCTCTCACAAGGGCATACCCGTTCATGTCCAGAGAGAAGAGGGCGGAGAGGTCCTTCTGCACAATGACATCGTCGTCGAGGAAGAGCATGCGGTGCAGGGAAGGGAAGAGCTGGGGGAGGTAGAACCGCAGGTGGTTGAGCAGCGCCATGTACTTGGGGTTGTGGAACTTGATGGGTTCCCGGCCCTCCACCTGATTGGGGGTGTGTGTACAGGGGCGGTTGACGGGGTCTGGCACGAGGGAAACACGGTAGATGGTTGAGCAGAGCCACGCACTACAGGTTGTGGAACTTGATGGGCTCCCGCCCCTCCACCTGGCTTGGGATGTGTGTGCAGGCGTGGTTGACAGGGTGTGGCTATGGGTCACCGATGCAGCACGATGTGACGTGGCAAGGGGAACATTTTGAGTCGACTCAACAGTCACCCACCGATGCAGCAAGATGCAGCACCTACTGATGCAGCATGATGCAGCACCTACCGATGCAGCACGATGCAGCACCTACCGATGCAGCACGATGTGACGTGGCACGGGGGAACACCTTTCGTGATTCATCAACCAGTCCTACTCCTTACCAGTCCCCCTATGACCTTCCCTGTACTCGCAACAACAGCAGCAGCAGCAGCAGAGAAGTAGAAGCCAGCCTCCTGTATTTGCTGTAGCACCCTCAACTGCCCCAATCCCAAAGACACCCCATCACGCAAGAACATAGCCCTCCCCGCCTTGACTCACAGAAGAGACCCTCCCTGCCTTGACTCACAGCAGAGACCTCCCTGCCTTGACTCACAGCAGAGGCAGCGGAGAAGTAGAGGCTCTTGGCCCCAGCCTCCTGCATCTGCCGCAGCACCCCCAACACCCTCTCAACACCTCTTCCACAACCCCTTCCAACGCCACTCAACCCCCCCTCTCCCACATTCCACTCACGGCAGCAGCAGCAGAGAAGTAGAAGCTCTTGGCGCCGGCCTCCTGCATCTGCCGCAGCACGGGCGCATAGGACGCATTGAGCCACCCGCTCTCGCCCTCCACCCGCCGCACCTCCAGCGAGGCCAAACCTGGAGGGTGGCGGGAGAACCACACCTGCGAGTGGAGGAGGAGGGGGGGGGAGGAGGAGAGGGGGAGGAGAGGAAGGGGGGAGAGGAGGGGGGGGGAGGAGGAGAGGAGGGGGAGAGGAAGGGGGAGAGAAGGGGGAGAGGAGGGGGAGGGGAGGGGAGGGGGAGAGGAGGGGGAAAGGAGGGGGAGAGGAGGGGGAGAGGAGGGGGAGAGGAGGGGGAGAGGAGGGGGAGAGGAGGGGGAGAGGAGGGGGAGAGGAGAGGGAGAGGAGTGGGAGGGGGAGGGGGAGGGGGAGGAAACTTTGAGTTGATTCAGAAGGGAAGAAAAACCCCTGGGATGACTCCTGCTCCCCAGGGATGGCTCAAGAAGCACAGCTTGGAAGGGGAGCGGGGGAGTGAGGGTGCGGGGTGAGAAAGGGGGGTGGGATGGGAAAAACCGGCATGACTATAACTCAAGCAGGCGAGCACTGCCCCCCTTCTGCGAAAGAACGGGCATGAGCATAACTCAGAAGGCATGCACATCCCATCACACGCACACACTGCAGAGGACCCGCAGGAGATATCACACCATATCAACCACACCAAAATGCATCACATCCCATCCCATCCCATCCCATCCCATGCACGCACCACGAAGGCGGGGAAGGAGGTGGCGTCGGTGATGACGTGGAAAACCAGCCGTGAGGGGTCACTGGAAGAGAGCACGGTGGAGTTGACAGCAGCGGACACGGCCAAAAGGTTGTCGCTGAACACACAGAGGTGCTGCAGCGAGGTGTCGACAAGGCGAGAGTTGTTGGGCGTGCCTGGAGGCTGGGAGAAGGACCAAGGAGACAAAGAGGAGAGCGGATCTCGTTATGGTGACAGCAGCACACACGGCCAGCACGTTGGCACTGAATACACACAGGTGCAGTAGCCAGGTGTCTGTCAGGCGAGTGGCGTTGGGTGTGTGTGGTGCGTGTGTGTGTTGAGGGGGTGGGGATGGCACAGTGGAAACTAGGAGTTGACAGCAGCGGACACGGCCAGCACGTTGTCGCTCAACACACAGAGGTGCAGCAGCGAGGTGTCAACTAGGCGAGAGTTGTTGGGCGTGCCCCGAGGGTTGTGTGTGTGCATGGGAGAGAGAAGGGAGACAAGGGCGACGATAGGGGGCTGATAAGTTGACAGCAGCAGACACGGTCAGCACGAGGTCGCTTAAGGCACAGAGGTGGAGGAGCCAAGTGTCTTCCAGGCGAGCGTTGTTGGGGCCGTGCCTGGGGACTAGGTGGTGTGGGGGAGGAAGGACAGGGTGCGCGCACATGGAAGGAGGAAGGGGTGTGTGCTTAGGATCCTGCCTGGGGAATGCCCAAGCGTGGACCAGGGGAGTGGCTGCAATTTTGGAATGCGCGCCGCGACGTGATTTCCTTCGAACGTGTCGCGCCCTTGATGGTGAGCGCGCGATACTGGATTTGTCAGCCGAACCGCACAGCTTTGGAACCAGCCAAGCTAGCCGCGAAGTGCGGGACTTTCCAAGGGTGCTGTTGCTCGTGCATCAATCCCATCCCACGCGGCCTCCATTGGTCAAACGACCAGAAACATGAAATCCTCGCTACGAGCATATGCGTTTCCCACCATGACGTCTATCAGACACCGTTAACCAACCTTCATCTACAGAGATTTCTTGACCTCTCATCCCAATGTGGAATTGACAATGACATAATTCAGGCACTATGGAGAGAGGCATACACGGTTCAAACTGGTTAGAGGTGTTATATCATGTTACACCACATTCTGAAAGCCACGGATCGTCAAAGCTTACATACTTCGTCCAAAGGCTACGATAATTCGGTAAAGCAATCTTCAGCCATGGCTTCTGGTTACCATTCCAGTGTATGGCCGCGGCCTTAGAGATGGCATTCATGTCCAGATGTGGGTTGTAACCGAGCCCCAGGACGTGCCATGACGGATCGATGGCATGTGTAAGCCCATTGAATGCCAGTAAGCCCGGCGGTAATGTCCCCAGCTTCCATAATGAATGATCAACATTCTGCAATAAGACGAAGAAACGTACAAAACGGGGGCCAAAACAATGTAACACCTGAAGGCGTAGGCAGCAGACAAAAGCAGACGTACACACCACACCACCCATTCTCTTTTCCCAGTGCCGCCAGTCAAAACTCAAAACTTCAACTGCCCATCCTCCCACTCACCTGCTCTTGCCAGTAGTGGTATGTGCCCGTCACATTGGCCCCTCTCCAGCCATCCAGGTCAAACAGGTTCATGCCATACGCCCACGCACACCCCTCGGGGTCGAAGCGCCCTCTCAGCCGCGTGTCGGTGAAGTTGAGGTAGCGGTGGAAGCGGTGGAACGACCCCTTGCACGTCTCCACTGCACCGTTCACGGCCCTGTTGGGTGATGGGGGTTCAGAGAGGTACAGCAAGAGGCAGAACGGTAGTAAGGTCAAACAATTTAGCCGCGTGTCCGTGACGTTGAGGTGGCGGCGGAAGCGGTGGAACGACCCCTTGCACGTCTCCACTGCACCGTTCACGGCCCTGTTGGGTGATGGGGGTTCAGAGAGGTACAGCAAGAGTCAGAACGGTAGTAAGGTCAAACAATTTAGCCGCGTGTCCGTGACGTTGAGGTGGCGGCGGAAGTGGTGGAACGACCCCTTGCACGTCTCCACTGCACCGTTCATGGCTCCGATGGGGGAAACAGCCTTGACAGCCTTTATGGGGGAAACAGCCTTGACAGCCTTTATGGGGGAAACAGCCTTGACAGCCTTTATGGGGGAAACAGCCTTGACAGCCTTTATGGGGGAAACAGCCTTGACAGCCTTTATGGGGGAAACAGCCTTGACAGCCTTTATGGGGGAAACAGCCTTGACAGCCTTTATGGGGGAAACAGCCTTGACAGCCTTTATGGGGGAAACAGCCTTGACAGCCTTTATGGGAGAAACAGCCTTGACAGCCTTTATGGGGGAAACAGCCTTGACAGCCTTTATGGGGGAAACACCCTTGACAGCCTTTATGGGGGAAACAGGGGGGGGTCAAGAGGGTAAGGGAAGAACAGTGTGAGGGTTAGGCCCTTGAGCTGTGGGCTGGTGAAGTTGAGGTAGCGGTGGAAGTGGTAGAAGGGCCCCTTGCATGCCTCCACTGCTCCATTGACAGTGGTTAAGAGGGTAAGGGAAGAACGGTGGTTAAGTCAGACACTTGAGCCGCGTATAGGTGAAGTTGGGGTAATGGAGGAACCTGGGGAGTGCCAAACGCAGGCAAGTAACCAGTTAGGGGTGTCAAGAGCAATAGCAGGAACGTGACCATTTGTGTCCACAGTGAAGAGGGCGGAGAGGTATTTTTTGCGCGATGACGTCATGGACGAGGAAGGATGATGCGGTGCAGCGCAGGGAAAGAGAGGAGGAGATGCAGACCAGCACAAGTAAGAGAGGAGCATGCCCGTCTATGCCTAGCACGGAAGGGCAGAGAGGTATTTCTGCACGATGACATCATCGATGAGGAAAGAAAGAGGATGCGGAGCAGCGAGGGGACGGAGAGAGGGGAATGTCAGCACAGAGCGAAAGAAACACACCTGAGCATATTTTGAGGCGCCTCAAAAATAGAAACACACCTGAGCATATTTTGAGGCGCCTCAAAAATAGAAACACACCTGAGCATGCCCAGAGAGAGAGAGAAGGGCGCGGCGCAGCAGCGCGCGGAAGAGCGAAGGGAATGCGCAGCACAACAGTTCAGGGAAGAGCGCCGGAAAGGAAGGGACATACCCGTTCATCTCCAGAGATTTTCCAGATTTCTCAAAAATATCTCCTCTCACAGGGACATACCCGTTCATTTCCAGAGAGAAGAGGGCGGAGAGGTCCTTCTGCACAATGACATCGTCGTCGAGGAAGAGCATGCGGTGCAGGGAAGGGAAGAGCTGGGGGAGGTAGAACCGCAGGTGGTTGAGCAGCGCCATGTACTTGGGGTTGTGGAACTTGATGGGTTCCCGGCCCTCCACCTGATTGGGGGTGTGAGTACAGGGGCGGTTGACTTGACGGGGTGTGGTACGAGGGAACCACGGCAGATGCTTGAGCTGGGGGAGGTAGAACCGCAGATGCTTGAGCTGGGGGAGGTAGAACCGCAGATGCTTGAGCTGGGGGAGGTAGAACCGCAGATGCTTGAGCTGGGGGAGGTAGAACCGCAGATGCTTGAGCTGAGGGAGGTAGAACCGCAGATGCTTGAGCAGCGCCATGTACTACAGGTTCTGGAACTTGATGGGCTCCCGGCCCTCCCCCTGGTTGGGGGGGTGTGTGCAGGGGTGGTTGACAGGGTGTGGCTATGGGTCACCGATGCAGCACGATGTGACGTGGCAAGGGGGAACATTTTGAGTCGACTCAACAGTCACCCACCGATGCAGCACGATGCAGCACCCACCGATGCAGCACGATGCAGCACCCACCGACGCAGCAAGATGCAGCACCCACCGACGCAGCAAGATGCAGCACCCACCGATGCAGCACGATGCAGCACCCACCGATGCAGCAAGATGCAGCACCCACCAATGCAGCAAGATGCAGCACCCACCGATGCAGCAAGATGCAGCACCCACCGATGCAGCAAGATGCAGCACCCACCGATGCAGCACGGTGCAGCACCCACCGATGCAGCAAGATGCAGCACCCACCGATGCAGCACGATGCAACACCTACCGACGCAGCACGATGCAGCACCTACCGATGCAGCACGATGTGACGTGGCAAGGGGGAACATTTTGAGTTGACTCAACAGTCACCCACCGATGCAGCAAGATGCAGCACCCACCGATGCAGCACGATGCAGCACCCACCGACGCAGCAAGATGCAGCACCCACCGATGCAGCACGATGCAGCACCCACCGATGCAGCAAGATGCAGCACCCACCGATGCAGCACGATGCAACACCTACCGACGCAGCACGATGCAGCTCGATGTGACGTGGCACGGGGGAACACCTTTCGTGATTCATCAACCAGTCCTACTCCTTACCAGTCCCCTTATGACCTTCCCTGTACTCGCAGAAGCAGCAGCAGCAGCAGAGAAGTAGAAGCCAGCCTCCTGTATGTGCTGTATCACCCTCAACTGCCCCAATCCCAAAGACACTCCATCACGCGAGAACATAGCCCTCCCCGCCTTGACTCACAGCAGAGACCTCCCTGCCTTGACTCACAGCAGAGGCAGCGGAGAAGTAGAGGCTCTTGGCCCCAGCCTCCTGCATCTGCCGCAGCACCCCCAACACCCTCTCAACACCTCTTCCACAACCCCTTCCAACGCCACTCAACCCCCCCTCTCCCACATTCCACTCACGGCAGCAGCAGCAGAGAAGTAGAAGCTCTTGGCGCCGGCCTCCTGCATCTGCCGCAGCACGGGCGCATAGGACGCATTGAGCCACCCGCTCTCGCCCTCCACCCGCCGCACCTCCAGCGAGGCCAAACCTGGAGGGTGGCGGGAGAACCACACCTGCGAGTGGAGGGGGGGGGGAGGAGGAGGAGAGGAGGGGGAGAGGAAGGGGGGAGAGGAGGGGGAGAGGAGGGGGAGGGGAGGGGGAGAGGAGGGGGAGAGGAGGGGGAGAGAAAAGGGGGAGGGGGAGGGGGAGGGGGAGGGGGAGGGGGAGGGGGAGGAAACTTTGAGTTGATTCAGAAGGAAGAACCACCCCTGGGATGACTCCTTCTCCCCAGGGATGGCTCAAGAAGCACAGCTTGGAAGGGGAGCGGGGGAGTGAGGGTGTGGGGTGAGAAAGGGGGTGGGATGGGATGGGGTGGGATGGGATGGATGGGATGGGGGTGGGATGGGATGGGGTGGGATGGGATGGGGTGGGATGGGATGGGGGTGGGATGGGATGGGTGGGACGGGATGGGGTGGGATGGGATGGGGTGGGATGGGATGGGATGGGATGGGATAGGGTGGGATGGGATGGGATGGGATGGGATGGGATGGGATGGGATGGGATGGGATGGGATGGGATGGGATGGGATGGGATGGGATGGGGTGGGATGGGATGGATGGGATGGGGGTGGGATGGGATGGGGTGGGATGGGATGGGGGTGGGATGGGATGGGGTGGGATGGGATGGGGGTGGGATGGGATGGGGTGGGACGGGATGGGGTGGGATGGGATGGGTGGGATGGGATGGGATGGGATGGGATGGGATGGGGATGGGATGGGATGGGATGGGATGGGATGGGATGGGATGGGATGGGATGGGATGGGATGGGATGGGATGGGGTGGGATGGGGGAAAACCGGCATGACTAGAACTCGAGCAGGCGAGCATTACCCCCCTTCTGCGAAGGAACGGGCATGAGCATAACTCAGAAGGCATGCACATCCCATCACGCGCACACACTGCAGAGGACCCGCAGCAGGTATCACACCATATCAACCACACCAAAATGCATCACATCCCATCCCATCCCATCCCATCCCATGCACGCACCACGAAGGCGGGGAAGGAGGTGGCGTCGGTGATGACGTGGAAGACCAGCCGTGAGGGGTCACTGGAAGAGAGCACGGTGGAGTTGACAGCAGCAGACACGGCCAGAACGTTGTCGCTGAACACACAGAGGTGCAGCAGCGAGGTGTCGACTAAGCGAGAGTTGTTGGGCGTGCCTGGAGGCTGGGAGAAGGACCAAGGAGACAAAGAGGAGAGCGGATCTCGTTATGGTGACAGCAGCACACACGGCCAGCACCTTGGCGCTGAATACACACAGGTGCAGTAGCCAGGTGTCTGTCAGGCGAGTGGCGTTGGGCGTGCCTGGTGCCTGTGTGGGTTGAGGGGGTGGGGATTATGGCACAGGGGAAGCTAGGAGTTGACAGCAGCGGACACGGCCACCACGTTGTTGCTCAACACACAGAGGTGCAGCAGCGAGGTGTCAACTAGGCGAGAGCTGTTGGGCGTGCCCCGAGGGCTGTGTGTGTGCATGGGAGAGAGAAGGGAGACAAGGGCGACGATAGGGGGCTGATAAGTTGACAGCAGCAGACACGGTCAGCACGAGGTCGCTTAAGGCACAGAGGTGGAGGAGCCAAGTGTCTTCCAGGCGAGCGTTGATGGGGCCGTGCCTGGGGACTAGGTGGTGTGGGGGGGGAAGGGCAGGGTGCGCGCACACGGACGGAGGAAGGGGTGTGTGCTTAGGACCGTGCCTCGGGAATGCCAAAGCGTGGACCAGGGGAGTGGCCGCGAGCAGCACGAAGAGAGGAGGCAACTGCAGTGCCACAACGAAGCACGCATCCAGTTTTGTGGGCTTGGACTTGATTTGATTGCTCCGGACCTTAGCCAAGGACGTCGGCTGCATGTGGGCGGGTGCAATGCAATGCACGACATGCTAGAATTGAGGCGCCTAAAAAATAGACACCGTAGCCAAGGCCGTTGGCTGCACGGGGGCGGGTGTAATGCACGACGTGCTATGTAATCGATCGTGACAGCCGTGACACCAAGTTATTAAAATGTACCGCTCCTCTTAGCTTAAGTCAGCATGACCCAGCACCGCTCAGCATGATCCGGCACCACTCAGCATGACCCGGCACCACTCAGCATGAACCAGCACCGCTCAGCATGACCCAGCACCACTCAGCATGACTCAGCACCGCTCAGCATCTAAGACCTCCATGAAGAGACAGAAGCTATGGTGTCTCCAAGGCTTTCAGAGCACCGTCAGAAGGAGAAAACAGCTGGGCAGGAGGGGATAGGAACGCAAGCAACCCACCAGATTATGGTGTATTTGGAAGGGATGCCTGACTGTGTCTAGCGACGGGTGCAGCAGAGCCCACTCCCTCGCCAGGCGCATGTAGAGACACGTCATGGGCTTGGGCATCGACTCTGATACCACCTGGGGGGAATGGAGAAGTGCAGTGTGGTGAAGGGTGGCAGAAGAGTGGTAACCTGAGGTCCTGAGGTGCCTAACTGATAGGTGCCTGCGGAGGCACGTCATGGGCCTGTGGATAGACTCTGATACCACCTGGGGGGAGGGAGGAGTGCAGTTTGGTGAAGTGCGGTGAAGAGCAGTGAAAACATATGTTGCCTGAGAGAAAGGCGCATGTAAAGTTAGATCACGGAAACAGAGGCGCGGAAGCTACTTCTTCAGTCAGTCCCAGACCCAACCAGTACACACTTGAAAAACCACCTGAGAACGCACCTGAGAAGCCAGAGTGGCCTGAGCCGACGCCTTAGAAGCCTTCTCTTCTGCCTTGGCCACCTTTTCCTTGAGTGCCGCCATGGCCGCCACTCTGAGTGGCGGGACAAGGGACGTTGGGAGAAGGGACGTTGGGACAAGGGACGTTGGGAGAAGGGACGTTGGGACAAGGGACGTTGGGACAAGGGACGTTGGGACAAGGGACGTTGGGAGAGGGGACGTCGGGAGAAGGGACGTTGGGAGAGGGGACGTCGGGAGAAGGGACGTTGGGAGAGGGGACGTTGGGAGAGGGGACGTTGGGAGAGGGGACGCTGGGAGAGGGGACGCTGGGAGATGGGACGTTGGATGAGTTAACTCTCTAAGACGTCACATGTGGCACTCACTCACATGCCATACTGCCACACTCACGTGTCATACTGCCATACTTGCATGCCATCCTGCCATACTTACATGCCATACTTACATGCCATCCTGCCACACGTACACGCCATAGTGTCGCACTCACATGTCATAGTGCACTCACATGTCACATGCCACACTCACATGTCATAGCGCCACACTCACATGTCATAGTGCATCTCCTTGGCTTGAAGGATGAGAGCGCTCATGTTTGCTATGTGCGCTCGAGCCTCGAGCTTGTACACTGCTTGGCTGGGGTGGCAGGAGGAGGGGGGTGGGTGAGGGAGGGAGATGAGTCAACTAAGAGCACAGCACTTATGCCTGCAGCATGCACTTGCGCCTAGTGAACTGCTTGGCTGGGGCGGCAGGAAGTGGGTGGTGAGGGAGGGAGAGGAGTCGACTTGAGGAACAGCCCTCATATTTGCAACATGTGCTTGCGCCTGGTAAACTGCAATATCCACCGCATGCGTGTACACTGCTTGGCTGGGGTGGCAGGAAGTGGATGGTGATAGGGAGGAGGTTGGGGAGGTGAGTGGGAAGAGAGGAGGGGAGGAGATTTGGCGCTAAGGCATTTTGAAATGTTGGAAAACGGGAGGGGGTCTGGAAGTGATGCATATTGAGTCGATCCAAAGCTTCGTTCTATCGAATTAATGTGCATATAAGGGGCGCTTGTCCCAGCACAAGGTTTATTAGTTCTCTAAACCTCTACAACGCGAGTAGTCCGCTCAGTTGAGTCAACGTGCATATGGGGGAGTCCTGGTCTTGACGCGCCTCACCCTACAGGGGGGAGTCGGGAGAGGAGGATGCTCAGGACTCGTGCTGCAAAATTACGAAAGAGAATGACGTCAAAGTGCAGTAACAGAGTGAGCCAACAATGCCACACCTGGGGATAGCGATGGAGCGGGCGAGGAACGCCTCTGCAGCGCGCACGCCCCTCTCCATCTCATCGCCAAACTCCTTCTCCCCCGCATCCCGCGCGCGCGCCAGGTAGGCTTTCCCCAGGCTGATCTGGTCGCTGAGCTGGCGCACGGCGGAGTCGGGATCCAGCAGCTGCTGCCACGTCGGATCGGCGCGGAGAGTGGCGAGGGATACGCGGATGGATGGCTGGCGGACGGGGAAGGGGAAGAAATGAGCGGAGGTCGCAGAGGATGGAGGGTGACGATAGGCTGTAGGATTGCTAAAGCTTCACGCGCGTGTGAGACGAAGGAGGAGAGGACGTGAGTGCGGGAGTGAAGCCAACGCCTACGAATGACCGTGCATCTGCGCGGTCGATCTTAGCAACGTCACCTGCGAGCCGTTGATTGTGACGCTGCTTGCTTGTAGCGCAGAGCGAGGGTCCGCGGAAGTGGAAGCAGCCTGTGGTGCGATCCGTTGCAGGACGGCGAAGAAGAAGGGGGGATCGCAATCGGAGTTCGCACACGGATTATCAATACGTAACGAATTGAGACATCTCACGACATCGTTGGCTGGGAGTCAGAGCATCCTAGGAAAAAACAGTACCCTTGTCGGGACTCCTACTTAGACTGGGTTAAACCGAACGAGACTTGACGACTCGTTGCTTGTGACGCGGCAGCTGAGCTGTCTGAGGACGTCCATTACCTGCTTGCCACGTGGCAGGAGGGAGTCCCCGGACGGCAGGTGGAGCGAGACGAAGAGCAGCATGACGACGAGCACGCTCGCCGCCACCAGCAGCACCGTGCATCGCTGCCGCCGATGGCGGAGCGACGCGCGGCGCGAATGGCGGGGGGGCGAGTGCGGAAGAGAGAAGCCGCCCGCGATCTTGGGGAGGTGCATGGCGGCTTGATGGATGAGAGCGGTCTTCGACTCACTGCTCTAAGCAAACGCCACTGGCTTCATTCTACACGAGCAGTGGGTGAGACCAGTGGTAGGTGCATGGCGGGTGATCAGCTTGGATGGATGCGGCATAACTGCAGCAGCTGCAGACGCATGGTGATCCCTGGCTTGACTGATCGAAGTAGGAATGCTTGACGATTCCAAGGCTGATCAGAAGGACAAAAGACTGACAAATAGCAGCAGAGCAGAACCTTCGCCGTGATCAGCGAACACTGCCAGAAATGTCTGCTCTGCTGCTTCGGTCTGCCTCGGGATTTGCTTTTGGTCCAGAATGGCGGGAATCGTTATTGTCGCGCGACTTTCCGTACACCACAACCCGCAAACCTGCACGACCGTCCTTACACAAGGCGATCACCAATTTTCGACGATTATTAAATTAGGAAATAAACAACTATTATTCCTTACACCCAGCGAAAGGAGCAACACGCATGAACCACACTAACGCGTACAATCTCATCCCTGCAATTTTGTTCCCCTCCAAATTCAATCTGTGGAAAGCAGGACAACATCAACTAGCCATTCTTTTCCTTCAGTGGAAAAACGCATCCTCTAGCTTGTAGACAGTAGCGTCCGTCACACTGACACATTGACTGCCGCTCGCTCGCCATGGCTGCGGTCGACATCTCGTCGCCGGCATTCTCGTCGGACCCCGCCGTCAGGCTCTTCAAGCTGCAGCGGGGAGGCCTCACCGCGATGATCACCAACCTCGGCGCCACTGTCACCAGCCTTACCGTCCCGGATGCTCGCGGTTAGCTCTCCTCTCTCTCCTTTTGACTCACGCCCTCTTGGCTCCCAACGACAAAGTCGGACTTCCGTCTCAACCCATCGTGCTCCGTCCGTTTCCTTCAACTAATCGTCTCCTTCCTTCCTGTGTTCCGCCAGGTCAGCTGCGTGACGTGGTGCTAGGATTCGACACCGCACGGCCGTATCAGGTACCTTTTCCATCAGGTACCGTTGTCATCTGCCATCCAACCTTACTGTGGATTTTGGATTTTCCCATGGGTGAGACCGTGCAATAGCTAAATGCATGGTTTATGGTGTTATATTGCCATCGCATAATGTATTCCCATTTCTGTGCCATGGCCATGCTGTTTCATGCCCTAGAGCAGGATGGCACATCGCCATACTTCGGCTGTGTGGTAGGCCGAGTGGCCAACCGCATTGCGGGAGCTCAGTTCGATCTGGACGGTCAGGTCCACCATCTGACGGCTAATGATGACCCTCGCCCCAACACACTGCATGGTGGGGGGTGAGAGGAATGTGTATGTGTTTGCATGTGAACCGAACCCAGCCCGTATGAATGTGGGTGACAGGAGAGGGAGAAGCGTGTATAGACCGTTCCTCCAAATGCGATGCTCGGTGCTTCTATTGATACATGGACCAGTTTCACCGGTGAGGAGCTTGCTATTTAGAAGTGAGGTGACCTATAGAAATGGCTGACTGTGCTTCCTTTTCCAGGTGGCAAAGTGGGATTCGACAAGCGCATTTGGCGTGTGGTGGGTAAGGATGAAGGCAGTGATGCGGGACCTGCAGCTCCACCTTCAGCATCAGCATCAGCAGCAGCAGAGGAAGGAGCAGCATGCAACGGCACAGAGTTGCATCTGGCGCTGACGAGTTGGGATGGCGAGGAGGGTTTTCCAGGGAGGGTGGAGGCGCGAGTGAGCTACAGGCTGGTGGGCGATGGGGAGATGGTGATCGTCATGGCGGCACATGCTGTTGATAGGGACACGCCTGTCAGCATGGCACACCACATGTAGGTGTATGGCTGCATGTATGGTATGGGTGCATGTATGGCACACCACATGTAGGTTTATGGGTGCATGTATGGTATGGGTGTGTGCGCGCGAGAGCTATCTGCTGGTGGGCGATGGGGAGATGGTGGTAGTGCGGGTGGCGCATGCTGTTGATAGGACTACGCCTGTCAGCATGGCACACCACATGTGCGTGCATGGGTGCATGTATGGCACACCACATGTGCGTGCATGGGTGCATGTATGGCATTGATATACGCATGGTAGGGTGCACCATTCGCTGCTTGGAGGATAAAGACTTGCTGGTAGTGATGGCGGCACATGCTGCTGACAGGGCCACACCTGTCAGCATGGCACTCCATCTTATCCCATCCCATCCAATCCTATTCCATTGCTCTTTCTACGATATTTGGTCAACTCTAATGTCTTCGCCGCATCTCCTTCCCATTCCCATGCTCGCCCCCCCCCCCCCTCTCCCCCGCACCATCTCGCAAGGTATTGGAATCTGGGCGGCCATGCCAGTGGAACAGTGCACGACCACGTCGTGCGAATCAACGCCTCCCACTACACGCCAATCAATGCCAACCACATCCCCACGGGCGAAATTCTGCCGGTATGCCTTCCCATCAACAACCCCCCCCTGTCGCTAGATGCGTTCCTGGAAACTTCACTCAGAACAGCAATCAGTGCTCTGTCTTTTCTTAACCATTTTCACTTTCCCTTAACCTCCTTCACTTCAACACATGGCTCTTGGGACTGTTGCCAGATTTGTTTTTTAGAATTCTAAAAAACTGCGCACATCTTAACCATCCGCACTTCCCCTTAACCTCCTTCACTTCAACACTTGGTTCTTTCTTGGGACTGTTGCCGGATCTGCAAGAGAAGGAGCGTCACCTCTTCCTCTGGGGCCCGTCGTTTCCCTGCGCCACGACTCATCATATTACATGACTCCACGTGGCAGGTAGCAGGCTCTCCCTTTGACTTCCTCTCAAAGGAGTTCCCCATTGGGGCGCGCATGGGTGAGGTGGCAGGGGGTTACGACCACAACTACGTGCTCCACAGAACAGACGCGTGGAGTGGAGGGAAAGCAGCCGAGGTGCTTGGGGGGGAGAAGGGAGAGGATGGAGTGACGGGCGAAGAGGGAGTGAAGGGAGCAGAGGGAGTGACTTCAGGAATGGAGGGGCCAGAAGGGGGGAGGAAGGAGGCAGATGAGACAGGAAAGGACGGAGAAGCAGCGGCAGTGGTGGCAGGGGAGAAATTGTTTCTGGCTGCCCGAGTGCGGCACCCAGAGACGGGCATCCTCATGACTCTCTCCACCAACGCGCCTGCCATGCAATTCTACACGGGCAACTTCCTGGATGGTTCTGTGAAAGGTGAGGCAAACGCTACTTGCATCGGGAGTCAACCTGCTTGCCCTTCTGAGCGGTGTGTTCTTCATTCCCTTGGTGCCCCTTCCAGTTGTACCTTGAGTCGGCTCGAAATACACTGGGAGTCAACCCCACTGCCCACCTGAGTGGCCACTGCCCACCTGAGTGGTCACTGCCCACCTGAGTGGTCACTGCCCACCTGAGTGGTGTGTGGCTTCAATTCGTTGCTACGAGAAACTGCTGTTGATTCTCATCCCTGCTGGTGTATCATGGTGTGGCACGGTATGGCACGGTATGGTACGGTGTGGTATGGTGTGGTATGGTGTGGTATGGTATGGTATGGTATGGTATGGTATGGTATGGTATGGTATGGTATGGTGTGGTGTGGTGTGGTGTGGTGTGGTGTGGTGTAATGTGGTGTGGTGTAATGTGGTGTGGTGTGATGTGGTGTGGTGTGGTGTGGTGTGGTGTGGTGTGATGTGGTGTGGTGTAATGTGGTGTGTTGTGGTGTGGTGTGGTGTAATGTGGTGTGGTGTGGTGTGGTGTGGTGTGGCATGGCATGGCATGGCATGGTATGGTATGGCGTGCATTGGTGACAGGGAAGGGAGACACGGCTTATCAACAGCACGCAGGCTTCTGTCTTGAAACACAGGTCAGCCCTCCTCCTGTTAGCTTCCCCATAATCTCAAGAATTTCACCTCTCCTAGGTATTTTTTCATGCAGCCACTGCTGCTCTTTGCACGAGTATTCCAACACCCTTACTATACACTTTTTGCACCCACCCTGCCATGCTCACCCGTTCTCTTCACAGCCCATTCGCCTTTCGCTTTTTGTCCCCCTGCCATCCCACCTCTGATTTCTTCTCCTCCCGCCTCTGCGTGCTGGCCCCCCGTGCCCTCCCTTCACCAATTTCCGTGCAGGGTTTCCCCAACGCGGTACGGTCGTTGTATTTGGGCTAGCCTACCGTCACAAGTTTGCCATGTTTGTAAACAAAGGCTTGCAGTGCTTTTCAATTCCCCTCTTAAAGTTATCCGTTCTGCACGGCACAGCATGTCTCCCCTCCCTGTTCTGATCTCTTCTTGACTGCACGGCCAGGCTAAGGCAGATTTACCCGCTCTAACACGCATGGTCCGATATTCACTGTCGCTGCTGCAGGTGAATGAGCCCAAGTTCCCCTCTGTGATCATACGCAGAGGCGAGCGCTACATTCATGTGATGAGGATACAGTGAGTTCTCTTTTTCACTCTGTTTAAAAATTGGTTTTGGGAGCATTCGAGCCATGAGTCTTCCATGGGAAATTATTGGCTGTTAAACTTGCAGAGGCAGACGGGTTCACGCAGTGAGCCCAGAACCAGATCAACTTCAACTAAAAGGAAATCTGTGCCTGCTTGCTGGTGATTGTCCACCAGCGCAGTTGTGATAAACCATGCTGTCAGGAGCTAAACTTTTGACCTCTCTACTACCGTAGTCTCGTTCCCTCTGTCCTTCATCCCTTCCAGATGTCTAGTGCCGGCATGCCTCCAATGTTCTCTTCTTTTCCCCACATTCTCTCCTTCCTTACGCTCCCTCCATTCCACACTTCTGCCTCGCCACTTGCAGGTTCAGTCACACATAACAGCTCTAGATTTCGTAAGCAATACTCCGTTCGTGCATTCAGGTTGGGTTGGATGATAGGATTGAATGGAGGCAGCCAGATCAAAATGGGCTCCCTTAGTGAGAGCAGTTTTGAGGTGACATGACAACACAAAATATTCTCTTCCGTCGAATAGTTGAAAATGCGTTGTCGTCACCTGATAACATTTACCAAGCGATGCTTGTCAGAACTCAGTCACTGGCCACTGAGTTAAAAGGGCTTGTTAAGTAGCGGGTAAGTGCGCCCATAACCCCCCAGACTCTGCACCTGTGACCCTTCCCCGAGGATCTCAAGGGCAACCCCAGCGTGTCTCTTGACAATGCTTTCTCGAAACTTGAGAAGCCCCTGGGGTCCTTTACCACGGGGAAAATGAAACGCTGGTCCTGTATGGAGTCCTTTGTCAGAAGAATGCATTTGGCCGTAGCTGTTCCTGGTCTCAATTTGCCAACGTGGTCAAACACTGGTTAGGGGGGATGATACGATTGAATAGCACGGAACTGTTTTGAGATGTGACTGAGGCAGAGTGATGTGGCTTGTGTGTCCAAAACGTTGCAGGGAGTTGCACTTTCTAGTGACATCACCCCTGGAGCCTTGGCTTGATGCACTTAATATACCACTGAACAAGCTGTAAGGATTCACAACCGAATCTTTGGCTGTTGAAGGATGCTTATTAGTACTACAGTGGTGCACGGCTTCACACCGCACCAGCGTCACACCATCCTACCATACAGCGCAATCCATGGCTAAGTAGGTTAGTTATGAGACATCTCAGAACTAGCCTGCTTCGCACCGCACCAGTGTCACACCATCCTACCGTACCGTGCAATCGCATCTGCAAGAATCCGCTTCTCCTCCATTCGATACTCCACTGCTGTCACAAGGCAGCGCTGCCTCTTCTCCTCCTGTTCATTACCGGAAAACGGGCTTTCTTCTACCCCTCTCACAAAGGCGCTGGCTGTCCCTGCCCTCTTGAGCTGCACCAGCAGGGCCTTGTCATCTTCCAACGTGGTCGGGTAATTGTCCAGAAGCGCCTTACAGCGGTCTACCAGTTGCTTGGCTGCTCGGGAAAGTTAAGGAGAACAAGCACAGTGCTGACAGGAAGCTGTGGTAGTGGGGTTTTGTTTTTGAGGTGCCTATTTGGGTTGTTAGAAGAAATTACGAGGTAGCGAAGAATGGATCATGGCGCAAAATGTTGAATGTTGCTTGAGATACACAACAGAAAAATAAGCAATTAGAATGGCAGTACGGTGTAACACACAAGCCCAACGTAATACACACCCACCTGCCACGGAGCGTGTTTGGGGCGAGACGTTGGCAGCAGCGAGGGAGTGGGAGGTGGTCCAGTGGTGATCGAGGTGCGCTATTTCATCCTCCGAGGCGGCATGCAGCACGAGCAGACACTCCATGAGCCTCACTGCAAGGCCGCCTGGCAGCACGGAAGGAGATTGAAAGAGACAAGGAGAGACATCGAGCGGTGGTGAGAGACAGGCAGTCTGGCCGCCTGGCCCCCTGGCAGCACGGACGGAGAGTGCACGGGACTAGGAGAGGCAGTGAGCGAGAGAAGGAGGTGGCAGGGGACAGCGTCTGACAACACATGCGGAGAACATACCAGTGTAGGCGAAGAGAGGGGCCTCCTCGTTGGCCATTAGGAAGAGGAGGTGCTGCTTGTGCCGCAGGCGAGTCACCCTCTCCTCCACATCGTCCAGCATGTGCTGAACACGTGAGAGGGAAAACAGAAGGGAGGGGCGGAAGGCGCAGAGGGGCCAGAGGGGCGGAGAGGGGACAGTTGGAGCTGTTGTGTCGACTCCTAGGCCTCTTGTGCTGCAGGCGAGTCACCCTCTCCTCCACATTGCCTGGCATGGGCTGAAGAGGGACAAGGGAGGGGTGGATGGGTGGAGGGGCCAGAGGGGGAATGGAATCAACTCTAGCATCGCTTGTGCAGGTGTCAAATGGGTGGAAGGGTGCTTCTGTGCCGCTTGTGCTGCCGACAGCTCTCTCCCTCTCTCTATCTCCTACATGCCGTCTCATCTCGCATGTGCTGACGAATCGGGGAAAACGGGAGGGGGAGGTGATTTTGAGCTGATGTAGAAGTCACTTTCGCTGCAAGTGGAGGCATGGTCTAGCATGTGCAGACAACACGACAACAAGACAACACCACGGTGTTTTTTAGAATTCTCAAAAACACCCTGCTAGTGGAGCCATTCTGTAGCATGTGACGATTTCTCAGGCGTCTCAAAATTTTATTCGAGAGGACGCATTGCCCAGCATGTGCAGACAACACGACAACAAGACAACACCACGGGAAGGAAAATTGGTCGAACCGCCTAAATGTGGTTCATTACACCTCATACCTGGAGGTTTCATGAGGCAGGCACGCGGTTGGAGGGTTTGCTTGCTGCGAGGGAGGAAGGCGAAGGGGAGGGTTGCGAAGAAGATGAGGGAAGCGAAGGAGAGGAGGGAAGCGAAGGAGAGGAGGGAAGCGAAGGGGAGGAGCGAAGCGAAGGAGAGGAGGGAAGCAAAAGAGAGGAGGGAAGCGAAGGAGAGGAGGGAAGTGAGGGAGGTGAGGGAGGGGCTTCAAACCCAGCATCAGCTCTCTTCTCTTCTCACCTCGAGGTTGGAGTAGACAGGCACGCGGTTGGCGGGGTTTCTGAGGGGGAGGAAGCCGAAGGAGAGGAGGAAGGCGAGGGAGGTGAGAGGCCCATAAGATATGGTCACTTGGGTGCCGGGGCACAGAGGGCGCGAGGCGAGCAGCTCAAAGCGAGGGGGTGTTTGAAGGGCCTGGGGGTTGGGTGTCGGGCGGAAAGGAAGCAACAGGGAGGTGAGGGAGGTGAGGGAGGTGAGAGGCCCTTAAGATATGGTCACTTGGGTGCCGGGGCGCAGAGGGCGCGAGGCGAGCAGCTCAAGCACGGGGGTGATAGAGAGGCCTGGTGGTGGGGGTGTTGGGGTGATGGGAGGAGGGGAGGCGAGGGAGGTGAGCGAGGGGTTGATTCCGCGGGGGGGAATGATTCGAATCGGTCTAATGGGTCGCCTCAATAAACCTGGCTCATTGCAAAAAAGGCTCGTTCCAGGTTGTAAGGGTGGATAGGTTGTCGTGGGGATGGCGAGGGGAAGAAGAGGACACATTGGTGGACAGGTTGCAAGAGCAGGTTGGGGGTTGCAAGAGCAGGTTGGGGGTTGCAAGAGCAGGTTGGGGGTTGCAAGAGCAGGTTGGGGGTTGCAAGAGCAGGTTGGGGGTTGCAAGAGCAGGTTGGGGGTTGCAAGAGCAGGTTGGGGGTTGCAAGAGCAGGTTGGGGGTTGCAAGAGCAGGTTGGGGGTTGCAAGAGCAGGCTGGGGGGGGTGGTGAGGGGAAGAAGAGGGAATGCAAGGAGCAAGCCGGTGCTGTGTGACGCACCGTCTGACGTTGCTCAGATTGTGTCGCGAACTCGATTCGTCAACTCATTACTGCCAGCTCATTACTGCCAGCTCATTACTGCCAGCTCATTACCGCCAGCTCATTACTGCCAGCTCATTACTGCGAGCTCATTACTGCCAGCTCATTACTGCCAGCTCATTACTGCCAGCTCATTATCACCTGATCGTACCTTCTCTTACCAACCAACTGATTGTGTCCTGGTGATTCACCTCCTTTCCAGCACTCGCGCCCATAGCCCTTCTCCCAAATAAACTCCCGACTCAATGCTTGAGGAAAGCATGAATGCTTTCCTCCCTGCAACCTCTCAACTCAAACAAAAGCTCGCGCTTCTTCTCCCAACCACCCACCTGCATGCGGCCTCTCCTGATGCGCCACGTGGCAGATGGCTGCACAGCCGCGTGTGAGTCCGTGGCAGCACTGCACGCGTGATTGGCCATGTCGACCAGAGGAACGAGGACCTGGGGTGGGGAGAGGGTTGGTAGGAAAGGGGAGGAGAGAGTGGCAGGCAGCTGCAGTCGATTGGCCAGGGCCACCAGAGGGAGCAGGACCTGCGGTTATGACCCCAGAGGGAACCCCAGGGCCACCAGAGGGAACCACAGGGCCACCAGAGGGAACCCCAGGGCCACCAGAGGGAACCCCAGGGCCACCAGAGGGAACCCCAGGGCCACCAGAGGGAACCCCAGGGCCACCAGAGGGAACCCCAGGGCCACCAGAGGGAACCCCAGGGCCACCAGAGGGAACCCCAGGGCCACCAGAGGGAACCCCAGGGCCACCAGAGGGAACCCCAGGGCCACCAGAGGGAACCCCAGGGCCACCAGAGGGAACCCCAGGGCCACCAGAGGGAACCCCAGGGCCACCAGAGGGAACCCCAGGGCCACCAGAGGGAACCCCAGGGCCACCAGAGGGAACCCCAGGGCCACCAGAGGGAACCCCAGGGCCACCAGAGGGAACCCCAGGGCCACCAGAGGGAACCCCAGGGCCACCAGAGGGAACCCCAGGGCCACCAGAGGGAACCCCAGGGCCACCAGAGGGAACCCCAGGGCCACCAGAGGGAACCCCAGGGCCACCAGAGGGAACCCCAGGGCCACCAGAGGGAACCCCAGGGCCACCAGAGGGAACCCAGGGCCACCAGAGGGAACCCCAGGGCCACCAGAGGGAACCCCAGGGCCACCAGAGGGAACCCAAGGGCCACCAGAGGGAACCCCAGGGCCACCAGAGGGAGCCCCAGGGCCACCAGAGGGAGCAACCCCTGAGGCTGAACAACCCCTGAGGCTCATGACGTGGGGCTGAAGGAGCGAAAGACAAGTGGGTGGGCTCGAGGGAGCAGCGAGCAATTCCCGGGATTGGATTCAAGGAGAGATGGAAGTCGTATGGATGCACACGGGCTTCTTTTGAGTCGACTCAAAACGGTATGGATGGACACGGACTGGGGTCAACTTCCAAAAAGCGGCGCCAACCTGAAACGCACAAGGCAGCTGCCCAGCAGGCTCGGCGCCAGCGTCTCTCCCACTTGTCGTTCTCCCCCCTGCAGCAGGACCATTCCGCACTCCTTGCCCCTCGCCCCCTCCCCTAGTCTCCACCCCTGTCAGAGCCCCCCTGCCAGGGTCACCCCCCACATGGGCAGCATCGGCGATGGAGAAGGATCGAGAGGTGACGACACGCAGGGCCCACCGCGCTCTCTCTTCCCCTGCCCCGGCCACTGCAGCAGCCACGTCTGACTCCATTGCTGCCATCTCTGCAGCGTAGGCTCGCACCTCCGCCGCAGCTGCTGGTGACTGCAGGTGCTCCAAGTCCTCCTCGCTCCAATCAGCCAAAGTCTGAAGTGAGGTGGGGAGGGTGGCGGACGGAGGGAGAAGGGGGGCGGGGGGATGAGTGGGTCATTGGAGGCGCCGCAAGCCACCTTCACTGCACCCCCGATCCCAGACCGCAGTCCTATCCTAAGCTGCAAGGGAGGGGAGGGTGTCAGAAGGTGGGAGGAGTCTATTTTTGAGGTGCCTCAAAAAGGGAGGGGAGGGTGTCAGAAGGTGGGAGGATGGCGGGAGGAGCGGACATCCCTGCATGCAGTGCGTCTATTTCAACAAATCAATCTACCGAGGTGCATTTGTTAGTCCGTCGATTTTACTAAATCACCTGAAGAAGGGGGGAGGATGGGAGGAGGGGACGAGGGGAGGAGGGGACGAGGGGAGGAGGGGACGAGGGGACGAGGGGACGAGGGTGATTTTTGAGTCGACTCAACGATGGGACGATGGGACGAGGGGAGGAGGGGAGGAGGGGAGGAGGGGAGGAGGGGAGGAGGGGAGGAGGGGAGGAGGGGAGAAGGGGAGGATGAAGGGGGGAGGAGGGGAGGAGGGGACATCTCTGCATGCAGTACGTCGATTGGAATAAATCAATCAACCGAGGTGCATTGGAAGGGGAAAAGGAGGAAGCAACTTGCTCCGCTCTCTGTCTGTGTACGCAAGATACCAACAGCAAACCCGATCCACGTGCCTCTATCTCGTTCGGCAGGAGCTCCTCCGCATACTGCCGCCATATCCTGCCTGCCTGCCCCGCCTGCCCCGCCTGCCCTGCCTCTTGCTTCCCCCCACCTGCCGCTGTCTCTACTATTCCCCTCCCGCCACCCCCGTCTCTCTCGCCCCCCCCCCTCTCCCGCGCTCCTCCTCAATCTCGCGCCGGGCCTCCTCACCCGCCCCACAGACTGCCTTCAGCAGAGCAATCGCCAGCCGCTGCACCGGACTCCCGCTCCCCCCTCCTGCTGACGTGGCGTGCAGGGGGACCCACAGCGTGGCGTGCAGAGGCACGGAGAGCAGCGGAGTGCCGGGGGGAATTGGGGGAGCGGAAGGCGCATAGGGGGGACTGGAGGAGGCAGAGGGGGAAGCGGAGCGCCCAGCAGAGAGGGAAGCGGAGCGACCAGCAGAGGGGGAAGCGGAGCGACCAGCAGAGGGGGAAGCGGAGCGACCAGCAGAGGGGGAACTTGGGGAATCCGCTCCGGGCAAGCAGACAAAGAGGCCTCTTTCCCCTTCCTCCTCCTCCTCCTCCTCTTCGTTCCCCTCCATCTCCGACTCTCCTTTCTCCTCCGCGCTTCTCCCGCCAGTCCTCCCCCCCCCCTGCTGCTCCACTCCCAGGCGCACCAGCGGGGCTGCGGGTTCCACCCCAATGCGCTGCCACATGGCGACGAACGATTGGTGCTGCTCGTCAAGGAGCGGGTATCCCGCCTTCGGCTCTACATCGTTCCCCGTCCCGGCGCGGCACCTGCACCTGCCGACCATCGTTCCGAGTCGCGCGGCTTCCTCCCCTGCATTTGCTATCGCGATTCCGCGCGATCTTCCGAGCGGCCCGCTTGAAAGCACCGCCCGTGTCCGCGAAGCTCCTCCCGAGAAGCCGGTCCGATTGTGAAAAGCTGCCGCCAGGCGGGACTGCTTCAGTCGACTAGTTTCGCGACCCGCATCTTCGTTTGCTGCGTGCCGGGGGGAGAATTCTATCGGGACAATTTCTGACAAGGATCGGATTGTCGGGGATCGGATTGTCGGGGATCGGATTGTCGGGGATCGGATTGGCGGTCTGGATTTCCGATCGAATTGGTCGAAAAGGACGGAGCGGGTCGTGAGGTGAGCGGTGACCGTTACGGTGGAATGCAATCGCTTAGGCGGGACCAGTACAGACCTACGCCCATTCGGCTGGAATGCGGGGAGGCGATTGCAACAGCCAGCATTAGCTGCGGATACAGGGTGAATAACGAGCATTATTTGGGTTTCTTGAGCGCGCAGCGCAGCAAAACGCTAGATTCTTAAAAGGCTAGATGCTGTTGTGGTGATTCTCAAGATTCTATGCGCGTACTACGCTGGTGTGGTTCTCAGGACTCGGATTCTCAGGATTATATGTTCGACCTCGACATTACCGTGGTTTGGCTTGGCTTCGGCAGATTCTATCGTGTCTCTGGCAATATATTTGTGGTGGAGCGATTTCAGGGGGTTCGCAGCAGTTCGTCAAAAGGGCGCAAAGCTTGCTGGACAGGGTACGAAGCACTGTTACATGTCGCTTATAAATTCGCGAACTCTGCGAGCGGAAGAACGGCTGTCCAAACAGTCCCTATTGACAGATTCCACACAGCTGAAACGTAAAGTTTTAGTGCGAATTATGTTCCACTTTAATGTCAGCAAAATGTCAATCCAGCCGTCGAAGGCTTGTTTCAAACTCCAAAAGGTTTCAAAACACGAGCTCGCGGCGTGAAATATCGTGTCAGTCCAGACTGCACTTTACGTGTGAAATAACTCTTCAAAACACTCCCTCAGCAGTCCCTTCCCTCCTGATCTCGTGCATCATCCAACCTTGGAATGTTCTTCCAGGTTTCCAGGGCACTCCAAACCGTCCATTCGCTGCCTCAGTTTTCCGCAGCGCGATCAGCGCTAGGTAACCACGTGACCTCGCCTCCACGTGTCTTCATATCATGCGTCGCGCCGCAGCTCAAGCCATTCACTTAGGCCGTCTCGCCGCCTCCGTCGCGCCTGTCGGACCCGCACCATCTGCCGCGATTCCCGCTTGTCTGTCCACGTCAGCCGCGAGCAGATCGCCATGGATCGTGCCGTTCCCGATGGCAAATCAAAGCCTGTCAGCTGGCGCCGCTGCTGCGGCAAGAGCATTCAGCGCACAGAGCGGCGGAGATAGCGGCGGTGCTGGCGGCGGCTCGGAGGGCAAGCAGCTGATCGCGTCGCTATTGGTCGAGCGGCTCCCCGTCGTCATCCCGAAGCCTCCCGAATGGGCTCTTAAATACGAGACGTTTAGGTTCGTCCCTCGAGGCGCCTAGGAGCGCTCTTAAATACGAGACGTTTAGGTTCGTTGTCCTGGAACCCGCTTACATACTTCCGATTGATTGAGTGCGTCTTTGCCCTCATGGGTTGCTATCATGCCAGGTGTGTGACAATAACGAGAATCTTCCCCGCCCCCCTCTGCGTGTGACAGTTTCGAGCGGAAGCAGCAATACCGCAAGCAGTATCCAAAAGAGTTTCTAGACGCGGCCGCATCGTCCAATGCAGGTGTGCCACGTGCCACGTTCCTTCTCTACTTTCTCCTCTAGCCCCCTGCCTCCGCACGCATCTCCCATCCCACCCCCTCCTCGCACGCACCGCCCCCCTCTCCTCGTCCCTCCCTTCTTCCCGCTCTTCACACCTCCCTTCTTCCCGCTCTTCACACCTCCCTTCTTCTCCACGCTCTTTCGTTGCTCCTTCCCTCCCACGCGTTCCTCTCACAACCGATCAACTTCCCCCCTCTCGTCCCCCTCCGTTCCCCCCTGCCTTCCCCCCTCCCTTCCCTTCCCCCCTCCCTTCCCCCTCCCTTCCCCCTCCCTTCCCCCTCCCTTCCCTTTCGTCGGAGCAGGCGCGGAGGGCGAGGGCGAGGAGGAGGACGAGTACTGGGCGGCCGTTCTGGAGGCACCGTTCGATGCGCCGTCAAGACGAACGGCTGCAGACGAGGCCAACGACGTGAGGTAGGCCGACGTCGTTTGACGTGAAGCTACCTCTTCGAACAAATGCCTGCCTGCCTCCCACAAGAGCTTTCTCTTCTTATGCCCTCCATGTTGGATGTCAACTTCTGGAGCTCCTCTGCAATTCCCCTCCACCTTCTCTCCACCTGTCCACCGAGCTGTTGGATTAGAACGAAGCTGTTAGATCTTACAGCTTCGTTCAAATCGAGCCTCCTCCAATCCAGACCATCCGCGCCACGTCACCCACCCACCTACCCTGGCCTCACATCACCCTCCTTCCACGACTCTCTCAAGTACGCTTTTGAGTCGACTCAAAAGCTCCTCCAATCCTGACCGTCCGCTTCACATCACCCACCCACCTACCTTGGCCTCACATCCCCCTCCTTCCACGACTCTCTCAGGTCTCTCTTTCTTTAACCCTCTCTCCTCTCCACCCGCCATTCTCTCAGGTGCCTGTAGTGCTCGCTGGACAGCTGTCTTCTGAGGCCTCCATCTGCCCCAATTCACACTCTCTCTTACCATTCCCCCCCTCTCTCTCCGCCCACCACTCTACCACGTTGCTCCAGCGATTGCTGGCCTCTTTTTCTAAGAGTTCTCAAGAAGCGCCTCTTCCCCCCCCTTGCTGCTCCCATCCCCCCCGCTGCTGTTCTATGTCCTCGCTTCAGCTTCCCCCTCCACCACTCCGCACCACTCCCCACTCTCTCAGATCCCTGCAACGATCGCTGGACAAGCGCCTGTATCTCGTGCTCAAGGGACCCTCGCTTGCCGGCCAATCAGGAGGCGACACGTGGCACTTCCCGGAGAAGATTTATGAGAATGAAGACTCGATGCGCCAGGTGTGCTCTATGTGCCAGGTGTGCTCTATGTGCCAGGTGTGCTCTATGTGACAGGTGTGCTTTATGCGCCAGGTGTGCTCTATGCGCCAGGTGTGCTCTATGTGCCAGTTGTGCTCTATGCGTGTGGTCCGATCAATCTACTCATCCCTGTCGTTCATTCCTTCCAAGATGGTCCAGGGGGATTGCACTTCAATTCCTCCATGCTCCGCTTCAAAGCCTCCCCTCCCTCCCCTCTGTCTTCCTCTCCCTCCCCCCCCCCCCTCCCCCCCTTTTTTCAGTGTGCGGAGAGGGCAGCAGCAGCATCCTTTGGCTCGTCCCTCAGCTTATACTTCGTTGGCAATGCTCCTTGCGCACATGCACCCCTGGTACTCGTTATTGCATGCACCCCTGGTACTCGTTATTGCAGCCTGAATGCACTCTCCTGGTTTGCAGACTTGCTCAATCCCCAATCTATTTGTATCACACGTTCTTGTACCACAGTCTGTTGTGTCACACACCCGTCCACATCATGTTTGGGTCATCCCACATCCCCTCCCTCTCCCTCCCCTCTCACACCTTCAGCCCGCCTCCCCTGCGTTCTCCCTTGCGCTTCTTCCCCCCTCTCCCACCGCAGCCCGCCTCCACTGCTTTCTTCTTCCGAGCCCAAGTGATGGGAGGAGATTTCGAACCGGCTGCCCGAACAATAAAAGATTTCGCGTGGGTGAGCAAGTCCGAGCTGCCCGAGTATGTCGACTTCTCGTCAATGCCGAACGGGACGGAACTCTTCCACTCGCTGCTGGTTGACGAATGATGGCGGGTCTCTGAGCCACTGACAGGGGAACCAATTAATTTCCTTGGAAATTTGAGTGCTGTACTAGGGAAGGGACCATACCGGTATTAGATTTAGCGCAGTGAGGTGTAGTGCACAAGGCTTGATGGATCGGCATGACACTGGTGGAAATGAGCTGCACTGTTCATCTATGTACAATGCCGAGGTCATGTTACAATGTTGGTTGGGGTTTTAAGTGACTCCCATCCGGGAGCCATCAGCAGCACGGGCCGCGGCACGCCCTTGCCAGTTGTTGGAACTTTCAAGCAAACATGACCAGGCGGGCGGGAACCATCGCATCGCATCACACGCTATTGATGCAGTTCCAGCCGACTACTGATCGATCAATGTGACACCAATAAACGGGCAACCACTACTGATCAAGTTGACATGCCCTCTTCCGTCCTACCTTTTGGCAAGTCTTATTCGATGCTGCCGTACTACCGTTATTTAACCCCACAGGAACTCCAAGCAGCAGCAGGAAACGTGGCAGCTCAATGCCGGGCGTTAGCTACGGTTGCGGAAACCCAGCACTGCTTTTGAGTTGATTCAAAAGCAGACTCAACTGCGGAAACCCAGCACTAATGCAGCAGCACGTGCGTGAATCTCCTCGCCGTGAGCCATCTCAACGCAGCCACATCAGGCACCGCAGGCATAGAAGCTCACAATCCCTCCCACATCCTCTTCAACCTCTTTACACCTCATTTGCAGCAGCGCTCCCTCCTTCCCTCCCCATCCCATCCTCCCCCCTGCTCGTCCCCCACCCCAGCCTCCTCCTCATCCTCCCCACGACCCGTCTCCCCCTCCTATCCACACTCACAAGCATCGCTGCCACCGTCACCGCCCCTCCCGACACTGTCGTCAACACCCAGAAGTCCCTCGGTCTGCTTACCACCGCAGCCAGCACCAGAGCCACCAGCTGCATCCCCTGCTGCAGCGACTCCTGCACTCCCCCCACCGCCCCCCTCTCCTCCTCCACCACTGCCCCCTGGACCATTTGGAGTACAGATAGGTCGAACACCCATAGGGGCGCTCGGGAGAGCACCACTCCAGCTATTAGCAGCACTGCTGGTATTGGCCCCGAGGATTGGCGGACCAATCCTGCGACGGCACATGGCAGCAGGCACGCCAGCTGCGACCAGATGGAAGTCTCAGCGGTTTGGATCGGGCCAAGCCTGGCGCAAAGGCTTGGGAAGAAGGTCGCTCCTAGCACCCCGGTTACCGCTGCGGCTCCGCTTGCGGAGCCTAGGAGGCCTAGAGGGATGCCTTGGGAATGGAGGTAGGCGCACATGAGGGAGCCGAAGGAGAGGACGGTGAGGTAGAGGAGGGCGAGGGAGAGTGAGGGGAGGAGGGAGGTCTGGCAATAGTAGATGGCCCATGCTGCTTGGAAAGTGGAGAGCCACGAGGAGAGGAGGAGGCGGAGGTGGAGGAGAGAGGAGAGGAGGCGATCAAGGAGGGAGGGCTTTCTTGGGGAGGGTTGAACGAGAGGAGGGATGAGAGGGGGGGTGAGGGTGAGGGTGCTGGTGGTGCCTGGGGAGGTAGTGCTGGCACAAGTGATGGAGGAATCGGGTGGAGGCGGGTCCGAAGAGACGAGAGGGGTGGAGGAGGAGGTGGAGGAGAGGGGAGATGAGAGCACAGGCTTTAACAACTGCTCATTCCCTCCGCCATTCTCTCCTCCCGCTCCTTCTTCCGCTTGGTGCTCTTCATCTCCCTCTCCCGCCTCCTCTTCCTCCTCCCCTTCTTCATCTCCCTCGCCTTCTCTCCCCCTCTCACCATCCGCCTCGTCCTCCACCGTCCCCCCCCTGCCGCCTTGTCCCTTCCTGCCCTTCCCCAGCCCGGGCACCTGGGCATGCACGACTGCCAGCAGCAGCAGCTCGGCAGCAGCGGCCACTAGGAACCAGACGGCCATGGCCAGAGGGAGAGACACGGGCAGGATCTCGTGGGGGGTGGAGGTGGCGGGGGAGGCAGAAGACGAGGAGGTTGAGGAGGGAGGAGGGGGGGAGGAGGGTGCGGCTGGGGTGGGCGTGGGAGAGGCGGAGGAGGCGACAGCAGCGGCGGCCATGAGGGCGCCGGTGACGGCAGGGGCGAGCAGGCGGCAGAGGAGGTCGATGGTGCGAAGGGTGGAGTTGAGCCGCGCCCGCACCCGCTCCCTCTGATCCTGCTGCTCGTCGTCTTGTTGCTGCTGCTGCTGCTGCTGCGCCGTACTCCCCTCCAGTCGCTTACCAGAATCCTCCTCATCGTCCATCACCTCCCTCACCACTACCACTCCCTTCTCCCCCCCCTCCACCTGCTCCCCACCCCCGCACGCCCCATTCAGTCTGCTTCCCTCTTCCACCGCCGCCTCCCGACTCCGTCCGCTCCCCCCTTCCGCCGCCGCCTCCTGCGCACAAACCCAGTCCGCAATCACCACCGCCCAGTCCCGTTCCACCGCGATCCCGCGCGCCAATCCCAAGAGAGCAGCCGCGGCGCCCAGCACGCAAACCGCCGCCACCAGCGCCACGTCAGCTCCCTTCTCAACTCCCGTTGCGACCCACGAAACCAGATCCGGGCTTCCAGAATTCGCGGCGGAAGGTGCGCCGAGAACAGCGGAGAAAGAGAGGAGAGCCGCGACGGCGATTGCGGCGAGAAACAGAGCGGCGTTTTGGCCGGCGACCGCGGCGGCAGCGAGCGGCAATCGCGGGCAGAGATCCACCCACGCGCCTATCGGAACGGAGAATAAAGACATCGCAAGCGACTCGGAGAGGCCATAGAGCGCCACGAGGAGCAACGAGGCAGACCCAGCGCTACTACTACTACTGGAAGTGTCTGTAGCGGAGGAAGCTGACGTGGCGGCGTAAGAGGCGTCTAGGAGGAAGAGCGGCACGGCGAATTCCCACATGCGATTGGTCCATCGGGAGAGGAAGTGCGAGACGTAGAGGGCCAGGAGAGTCGCCTTAAGCGGAAGCTTCGAGGGAAACCTCCGAAAGAGGACGTTTTGGAGGGTGTAGACCCGGTGAGTGAGCTCACGCGGGAGCGGAGGAGAAGATTTTTTTCCGGTAACACCGTGTTCGTGACGACCTGGCTTGCGCCTTCCTGACCGCCATTTTGAGTGCTTGGACTTGGTCTTAGTCTTAGCTGTTGTTCCGCTTCTCGTGTTGAGCGGAGCGGAAGACGGAAAGTCGCCAGCCAATAGGGACGACTCCTCTAGCCCGGCGCTGCTGCTGCGCTGCGGATGTGCGGATTCATCGGCGGATCTATCCCCAAGCTCGGCTGGGTAACCGCACTGCGAGTCGGAAGCCATTACTGGATTACGATCGTCGTTCGAGAAGAACGCAATCTGCGACTTTCCCTCCTCCTGCGGGCCTCGATTTGGGCCTCCGGACGCTGAAAGAGTGGGCAATGTGCATTCGAAGCGGCGCGTACTAATTGGTAACGTTTTTGAGGCGCCTCAAAAATAGACTCCTCATTAATTGGTAACGTTTTTGAGGCGCCTCAAAAAAAGACTCCTCACTAATTGGTAACGTTTTTGAGGCGCCTCAAAAATAGACTCCTCACTAATTGGTAACGTGTGAACCTCGACAACCTCTGGTCATCAGCCAAGTCGTTTCGAATCTGAGAGGAGGTAACCAGAGCGCTGTCAGAGCGCTGTCAGAGCGCTGTCAGAGCGATGTCAGAGCGCTGTCAGAGCGATGTCAGAGTTCATCGTCCACGGAGAGAAAGGTGACTCGTCAGGCTTGCTTTTGAGACGACTCACAAGTAACCACATACTCAGCGCCGGCAGGGTTCATCGTCCACGGAGCGAAAGGCGAGTAGCCGTCAGGATGATCAAACCTAGAGGTTGCTCGCGTCGCGACCAAGTCGATGCACGGCGGCATCACGTTCTGCTGACAAACGCTGGACGATCTCGAAACAGATAAACCGTCCTCGGTTTCCCCTTACCCAAAAAATTGGCGAAAGGCGAGGCGGGTGGGCTAGCCTTCCTCCAATAGCCTCCGCATCACCCTTCGCCATGAACCCGCTGTGCATCCTGCACTTCTATGCTGGACGTGTGTGCACGCGGAGGAAGAACTCCAATGCTGCGAAGGAGGCTGCGAATTCGGATATGACGACCCTCGTTAGCCTAGTGGCCCAGTTCTCCAAGAATGTCATGTCCTAGTGCTGTGGAATGGAGCCCAGCTGGTCCCCTGCTGCCATGGAACAAGGTGAGGGAGGCGCGTCGACCGCGTGGAGAAGGTGCGTGTGCTGAATGGCGAGCGAATGGTGCGAATCTTGCGTGGAGAAATGTGTGGCTGGGAGAACCTCGATTCCGCCACCTCATCGTCTGGGGGGTCTCAACTCTAAGGCAACAATAGGAAGCAACCTATCAACCGACAAGGCTGCTGTATAGTTGTTACAAAGAATCCGGATTTTATTATGATAACCCAGAAAATATATGGAACACATGTAACATGGGGTATTTGTTATGAATGGGACTGCCGAGTAGCGCGGAGGGCAATGACGAAACTGTGAACGAGTGAATGACAATAAAATGAAATACAATACAATATATAGAAAGCCTAGGGTGATCCTGGACGTAGGATCGGAAGGTTCAGGAAAAGTGTTGAAGGGCCTCGATGTGTCGTAGCGAGGTCTGGAAAGGCCCAGGAGGCTCGAACTGAAAGTTCTGGAACCCTGGCGATGGTTCAGGACTGTTCATCTAATTAGGACACAATCCTATGAGTTGGGTCAGAAGTTGGGTCTCATGCAAGTATCGATATGGACATTCCAACATGTTTAGTCAGTTCCGTTATGCGCGAGTCTGATCCAACTTCAGTCAGATCCAGGCGGGCAGGTTCCTTAGTATCCAATACTTTGACATTTTCCATTGCATTGCCTCAACAAGGAGCACACACCGACCTGTTAAATTATATATTTGTTATATAATTGGTAGGCTTGGTAGGTATTATTGAAACCTACTGTAGAGGGTACAACCCCCCTCCTTGTATGCCTCTCTCTTCTATTCTCTCTCCCTTTTCTCTCGTCAAATTTCCTAGCCTAAAACCTCTCGCCATTTCTATGGCTTCCCTCCTACCTAGATCCTAGCTTATGTTAACACGACCTACCACCCAGTCCCTCTTTGATCTTCAGATAATTGATGCTCGGAGCTTGGCCTTGTACGATGCACACCCAGCAGCACCAGAGAATGAGGAATGGAACCACGACCCCGATAGCGTTCATGCCAGTGAGGTAGCCCCAAAAGTCGATCAGATGGGGGTCTGAGTGGGGGAGGCCAACCAAGTAGCTTGTGGAAAAGTACACTGCAGCTCCGTACAGCTACCTGAGAAACACCGTGAACTAGAGGAGATTGCTGAAGGGCTTTCTAGCTGCCACGGCATAACTGCATGCGAAATGATAATAACAATGCACCCAATTTTGTCTCAACGATCTTGAGCTGGCGCAAGGAATCAAGAAGGACCAGCTCAATTATACAAGGCGTATAAGCATTTGAGAGCAACACTTTTAATATGAGGAGGATGGTGGCAAGGCCTTCAACAAAGGCAGTGACTGCATCGAGAGAGATTATGCAGGAGTCACGAGTGGCACAATATGAACAAATAGTGTCATACTCCTTCCCTGCATCCTGCAAGCAATAGGGGGGGGGGGGGAGGGGGATGGGGACAGGAAGGAAGGGGGGCAAAGGGAATTTAACAAGGTTCTGGAGAAAGGAAGTCCCAGAAAGGATGACACACATGGGGAAAAGCATTAGAGGATGAAAGATTAGAATGCATGGAAGGATATCCTAAGCGCGGGAATGCACAAGAGACAAGGATGTTGTGCAATGATAAAGGAAGAGCCAATGCACACGTATCAAGGAGGAAGGTTGCTGTTGCTACTGATAAGGGCGGGTGAATGACGCTCGTCACAGCCATTAGCTAGATGTGAGGACCGGAACCTGGAGAGTGTAGGAATGAAAGGGTTGGAGAAGGATAATGAGTGGCGACGAATTAGTGGCGCCTGTTTCGATTCACCAGCCGAACGTGAGTTACTCAAAGACTGACAAGTGACAACATGAACTTGAAGTGGTAATCCGATAGAGAGTAGGAAAGGTGAGCATGCGAATGGTGCTGGGCACCGAGCACCAGCTACAAGTGAACCGCTCTAAAATAGACAACTCGCGACGAGAAATTGTGAGGGTAATAAGAGGATTGAAGCTTGAAGCATGACGTACGTTGAATCAAATCCGACCTATGCCAGCATTTGGTGACAAGTATATTGAGATGACACATGCGTGGTCATCAGCTACACAAACTGATGCGAAGATTCTGCATTTTTTTTAATGCGGCATTTTTTGGAATGCGAGGCTACAGTTAGCTAACTTAACTTTGAATGTTGTTTCCGTTCGAGGTTGTTCTCCATTCGCGTGTGAACAACCACGATTACGTGCAAACAAGCACTCCAGTGCCCTTCTCTCCTTCCAGACACAAGCCACACCGTGCGCTCAGCATCCCAAAAGCTCTTTGTATCTTCCCATAACAGAGTGCGCATCCAGGCTTTTGTGCTAGCAGAACCATCCTTTGCATCAAACAGGCTTTGGAACAGTAGCACCAGGACACCAGCTGCAAGAACATGTTCCAATGTTGGCTTGGTGCTCTTCATTGTGTCCTGCCCAGGAGAGTCATGTACGATGAGCCAAGGAAGAACTATACAAGGAGACAGTAATTGCATAGAAATTGCTGAAAAGGTTGATGGCTCCAACTGAAGCATACACACACCTGAGCTTGCAACTAGCCCATGACACTTGGTTCAGCATGGAGGGCTTTCTTGACATGGGGCTGATTGAGGAACAACAAAAGATACTCCACTCTGCGCAAGTCAGACAAGCAACAACTTAGTGAGGCACGAGATGAACAGATAACGTCCGCTGGTAGATTCATGTTCCTTCTAGTAGTACCTATGTGGTGTGTTACTTGGCATGCCAACGAATATCCAACAATATTGGGATTCTTATTGTGTGCACAATCCATTCACATAGGGTTGTGCGTCCATAATGCGCTTCTTCTCATCCCTCCTTGTCTAGTGCTAACACGACAGTTTTGCAATATGTAGATCAACAAGAAACTGTCAAGAAATACGCTGGGGTTGCCCTTGATCCTCGGGGAAGGGCTACAGGCCATCTCTCTGCCTTGGGGGTTATGGGCGCGCCTACCCGCTAATTAATAAGCCCTATTAGCTTAGTGGTTAGTGACTGAGTTCTGACATGGTATCAGAGCCGAGTGGCCCGGGTTCAATTCCCAGTGCCAGCACTGCACAGGCGCTTGTGTCTTCCACCTATCACAACGAGGGAGGGTGTCAAGAGACACACTGGGGTTGCCCTTGATCCTCGGGGAAAGGCTACAGGCCATCTCTCTTTCGGGGGGATTATGGGCACACTTAAAAAGCCCTTTTAGCTCAGTGGTTAGTGACTGAGTTCTGACAGAAACATTCTTGTCGCAAGTGTGAATTTTGAGTTGCTGATTCCTTTTTGTCATCCATGTGGAGGCCATATGGTACGCAATTGTGATTTTTGAGGGGGTGTCGATCGAGTGGAGCAATCGTACCAAACTGCACGAAAGTATCTTTCGCGCCAAGCCCTTGCTAATGCAAGATGTTCTATTATGTGAAGAAGCATCTGATACATAGAAGTCATTGTAATGATGATGTCATTGTTAGAGTAGCGGGAAAAAATTGACTAGGAAGAGGGGAGGGGAAATACAAGTACAAGAATATTGTCCCCTCAAAAAACTGACTTTGCTATGCTATAACAAACATATCTAAACTAAATAGATGTGTAGATGGAACTACATATTTGGTGACACACCCCCTAGCCTAGGTAGAGGCAGAGTTTAACAAACCAGGGCAGCACTATTAGTCTAGCCTCTGGTGAAGGTAACAAGACAACTCACGGCAGCACTACTAGTTTGACCACAGAGACAAGGGGCCACAAGGCCAGTCAGTAGGCGTAGCAAGATATGCAGGTATAGAAATAGCAAGTACAAGCCGGTATTGTAGATATCAGGATACAAGGAGTGGAGCTGCTACTGAGACTAGACCAAGCTGAGTACAGAACCGTCGAAGGTCACGAGGCGGTAGTGCCTTGGTGAACATATTAGCGGTGCTGGCCTTTGTGGCCACGTATACTACCCGAGCATGGCCGCGTTGCTGCAACTCACGCAGCAGGAAGTACCGCAGCTGGATATGCTTTGCCCTGCCCTCAAGTCGAGCCTCCTGACACAGAGGATCATGGCCCTGTTGTCCGCAAATAGGACTGGGGCAGACCTAGGCTGCTCACCTAAGTTTGTGAGCAAGAACGTCAACCAGCGGAGCTCCTGAGCAGCCATGGCCCTAGCATAGTTCTCTGCCTCACAACTAGACTGAGCTACATACGACAACCTGGTGGACCTCTACGAGACAGCACCAGCACTAAGACTAAAACAGTAGCCTTGAGACGACCTGCGCATCTCCACATCGTCATCCCACGACGCGTCTGTGTGCCCAATGAGCACCACTGGCTCCCATCCTCCTCGCACAAGCCTTAGTCCTGATGTACTCGCTAGATACCACAGCACCCTCTTGGCAGCCGACCAGAGGACTGGTCGGTGCCTGCTTGTCGCAACAAAGCGAGCCAGGATACTGAGAGGATACGCTAGATCTGGTCGAGTGCAGGTCATCAGGTACATGAGGCACCCCACCAGCTCTGCTTATGGACCACTAGCCTCGACCGGCTCAGCCGAAACAGGAGCAGAGAGCTTGTGATCCACACGCAGAGGGGTGGGTTGTGATGAGGAGGACTGGAGGCTGAACCTCTGAAGTATCTGCTGCACCATATGGAACTGGGAGAGTGTGATCGTGCAAGCGGCATGGTCACGAGAGATCTCCAAGCCCAGATAGCGCCTCAGCTCCCCCAAGTCAGTACAGGTGTGTATCTTAAGTAACCCGACCTTCACTGAGGCTAGTGCAACTCTATCAGGAGTAGCAAAGATAAGAGTATCTACGTATAATAGGATGTAGAACATTGTCTGACCTGTACGAATGAAGAGAGAGGGGTCGGCAGAGGACG